GTTACTAATAAACAGGACCCTAATATCGTTAGGGCACTCGCTAACGTCGATATACTTAATGTCCTCTTTCCTAGCGATTCTAAATCGCTATTATTAGCTACCCAGGTCTATTGCTACGGCGTAGTACTTAAGAATAGGGTTGCTAATAACAATAGTAGCTCCCCTATATAGGTTGTCTATATCTACTACGTAGGTAGTAAAGTCTAGTAGGCGCTTATTTCCGAGGTCGTCCTTTAGGACTATAGGAACATAGTAGGCCCTATAGGTTAAGTGCCGAGCGTTATTAAACTAAGCAAGGGTTAGTAGGTTAGCCCTAGGCAGTTATCGAAGGTCTAATTGCTTAACTAGGCGATAGCTAATAAGGGCGCTAACTAAATTCCCTAGGTCTAGTATAACCTTAGTTCTATAATTGTTGCTATACGTATCCTATATAAGACAGGTGCGTATAATAGCTAGCATAATATCGATAGTCTTACGCCGTATAAGGCTAATAGTTAGTATAGCGCTTATTCTTTTTTCGAAGGTTAGCCTATAGGGGTAGCGTTAGCTACTAAAAGGTGCTTTCGGTGCTTAGCGGCAGTATAGTTAATTCGGGCCTAGTCCTTAGGTTTGTCGCATTAGCCTAGTAGATAGCTAGTGCTATTACAATTAAAGCATTTCAATCCGGTTAGGGGATTGCTATAGCCGCTATTACTGCTATTATTAGTTAAGCGATTAGTATTATAGGGATACGAGCCCCTTCTACGGCCCCTATCGCGGCCTCCTCTATATAGTCGCCGGCTACGGCCTCTTCTACGGTTATTGTTACTATTCCTATTATTAGTACTATTATTTTAGTAGGAACCTTAGTTTCCTCCGCAAGTACTACGGTTGCCGCGGTTAGTACTAGCTAGTCGGATCCTCGATTCTAGTCGCTATTAGAGCTAAACAGCCCGTTCGGCTGTTTCTACTTCGACTATAAATTAAATGCGCGTTAGATTAGTCTGTTCGAACATACGACGGCGGTCTAATTTAAGGACTAGTTCCTATCTTAGTTTTAGGCGTATTTCCGAGATCTATATAGAATTAGTCTTAGCCGGAAGGTTATCCTCGAGGGTCTTTAAATAGGCCTTAAATAAACGAGCCGACTAGTTAGTCTTCTGTTTAGCTCGAAGGTATTAGTCCTAAGCGTATTGTTGCCTTAGTATAGGGTTTCTAAGGGTATCTAGTATAATAGTTTTATAGGTCTGCTACTAAACAGTAGTCTAGTTATTAAGGGAGTCGAAATAGTTATCCTAGGTGCGCTTTAGGTCTCTATTAATGTATTACATAGCATAGACGACTAGCGAGTAATCGTCCGGAAGAGCCCTTAGTACGTTTCGCTAGTTAAGCTTATAGTCGCGAATATAGTCGTTGTATTGCTTTCGGCTAGAGCTATTAAATACGGTACAGTCCTTAAGTTTAGCATCCTTCTTTTAGACTAAACTAGTTAGTAAGGAAGGCCCTGCTATCGGCTTAGTATTAGTTGTTAGGGCTTCCTATAGGCGGCGAATTTCGAGGAGGTTATCCTTTAGCTATTGTTCTTAGCGTAGAGTAGCAAGCCTGTTTTAGGTAGCTTCCTAAAGTCTCGCTACTAGCTAGGGGCTAAAGGCTAGTTAGCTATATCGACGGTTAACAATATTGCTAAAAATGTCGTTAATAGGCAACGAGGGGTTATTACCTTCGATTATAGGTTCTTTAGTAGGCACTCTAGCAGGCTCTTTAGCAGGAGGTACCCTAGTAGGTGCTTTAGTAGGCACTTTAGCAGGCACTATGCTACTAGCGTTGTCGTTGCTAGCGCTACTAGCGGCGCCGCGATTGTTATTGCTTCGTAATAAGCCGGCTATTATAATAAGGGGTAACACTAATAATGTATTACAGGCCCCTATAGTATAGATATAGCGGAATTAGCGAGTATCGGTCTAGTGCAATTGACTTAGTATAATAGGCCGTATAGAAGGCCTTGCTTAATAATTAGTACGGTTATTCTAATAGAATAGTACGTATAGGTCCTGCCTCGGGCGCAATATAGTTAGATTAACGGTTTTCGCAGCTATACCGCTAAAAGCTTGAAATAAGGACTATCTAGCTACTACCCTTAAAGGGTAGATCGAATACTGTATAAGAAGGGTTACACTAGTAGGTAGATAGGGTAGTAGTAGGTACAGGTAGTATTCGATAAGGAGCTAGAAGGAGAGGGAGGAAGGCAGGCAAGTTAGCCTACTACTAAGCGCTAAGCCCTGCCTAAGGCATCGAGACCCTAGCTTTACTCGAGCCCGGTTATATGCTAATTACGTACAACCTCTTTAGTCCTAACAAGCTAATACGAAGGCCTTCCTTAGTACTAGACTTCCTAATCTATTAATAAGGCGTAGGCTATTAAGTTAAGTAGTATAAGACTTTATAGACCTATTCGACGCTACTATCGACTCTTAGTCTATTAACTCGTTTGCTAGCAACTGTAGGCGTTTTAAGGAGGACAAGATTGCCGCTAGCAATAGTAAGCTAGCCCGTAATTACTTAGATAGCGAGGCGTAGTATAGACTAGCTTAATACGTAGCCGATACTTAGTAGATCTATCGAGAATAGTATATTAAATACTAGATTAATAGAATACGCTATTTTAGTAATATAATAAAGTCGCCGGTTAAAGGTTACTATACTAGTATTAAGGCATAGTTAACGACCTATAGGAACGATATCTATAGCTTTATTAACCGGATAGTGCTCTATTTCTACTATTAGGTTAACCGCTATAAGGTAATAGTTAGACTCGAGATTACACGACTAGTAATAATATTCTTTAATAACTCCTTCTGTACCGAAGTTATTAGCTGTGTTAGTACCTTTACTCTACGTAAAGTAGCCGAGCGAAGGGCTCTCGTACGTGCTAGGCTCGAGAAGCGGAAGTCTGATAGTTATACGCTATTAGATTATACCTAGTGTTATCGGAGGGTCTATAGCTTAAGTTATATATACTAGATACTAGCACTTAAGGAGTCTATAATTAGCATTCTTGCTATTTATATATTCGAGAAGTACTAGTAAATACTAAGGACTAATTATAATAGTAACGAGACTAGTACTTGCTATGCCTTAGAGCTACTTAAGCGGATTAATAAGCGGCTTGTATAGTCGACTCGGCGTAAGGCAACTAGACCTAACTTACCTAAGCCTATTAGCTAAGCCGCCGCTAAAGCTATAGACTAGTAAAAAGTAGTAGGATAGGCTAAGCCTAGAAGGCCTGTTCTACCTCTATTACTACCGGTACTACGGCAACCTTTACGTAAGAGTTATGTGTATACTTCGGTACCTCTAAGAACTCCGCTAGTACCTATAACTTCGCTAGTAGTAGTGCTAGATTATACTAAGATTATATATTAGGAGCTATATATCGATACGAGGGTCGTAGAACCTTATTTACTAGGTAGGTAGTATATCTAGGGCAGTTAAGATTAGCTATAGGGTCCGAGTCTAGTTCTATATCTATTATTTATCTAGTTCCTCTGTCTTGTATTATAATTCTGCTTAGTAGCTGGTATAGGCATTAGAAGTTACTATGCGATATTCTATAGTATAGATTACTAATAATATAGTCTTACCGAGACCGGAGCGGCCCTAGGTCCGTTGATTTATAAATAGCCGGAGCTGATTTACGAATAGTCGCGCCCCGCCTGGAGGCCGAGATGATAGTACAGTCTTTGGAAGACACGGAGAAGAGAGAAGAGTCAGGCGAAGGAATGGAGATGGAGATGCTCAACCTCGGCCTATCCTCGGCCTGGCAGGAACTATTACCATTCACGTCTGCACGATGCACACTTCCTATTAATACAGTAAGCCAGATCAATCCTCCAACATGTCACATCTACCCAAGATCAGCAACCCCAAAATCCCGGACGATGTACAGAAGTCCACAGTCGAGCACTTCTCCGCCATGCCATTCGCGCGAAAGCCACTTGAAGATCCTCGATTCCGAATCCTGTCGCAGTCTCGCACGGTGACAGATGGGGGCAAAGGTCACACTTTAATGGGCAAGACGTGGAATACAGCGGGCACGATCGAGCACTTACTCATCCTCCATCGACAAAGCACCTCTGACGGACCTCTCCCGCATACCGAGGAGGAGCGGGCGGAGACGACGAGGTTTTACACCTTTGGCGGGGATCTCAATGCCCATCCCGACCTTCTTCATGGCGGCGTGGTCAGTTGCGTTCTAGATAGCACCATGGGCGGTGCTGTCGGAGTGACACTGGCCAAACAGGACGGCGGACCTCCGACTTTTACCGTGCAGCTGAATGTGACCTTCAAGAAACCGATCCGCACTCCTGGTACAGTCATGATTCGAGCCTGGGTGATCAAGGTTGACGATGGAGGTCGCAAAGCCTGGTGTCGGGGCATCATAGAGAGTGAGGATGGGACCGTCCATGCACTCGCGGAAGGTATGTGGTTGAGGGCCAAGTCGAAGATCTGAATACTGCCCTTTGCTGGCGAGATGTCGATCGAGTTCCTCCGTACTGTATAAGTACTCCGCACACACCGTCGGGACAAGGACATGGTGTCCCGGAAGATTGGCCGACCTTTGAACCTAGTTGTAGAATAGCCCAAGCTTCGTCTACCGAGGGCTTATTTAGTGTCCATACGTCTACCGCCACTGCGAACGATGGTCCTCATTATGACAGGGTCCTGCCACCGAACAGATGTCGCGAATCGCGAGTCCGCTGATGACTGGGATGAATCTCACATCGGCCGAGAGGGAGCGACTCGTCCACGAGTCGAGAGGACCCATGGCTCTTGCAATCCAGTTCACCTTCTGGGCTCTGTCCGCGATATTGGTCATTGCCCGGTTGCTCGTTCGGTGGAGGGTGTCGAACCAAATTCATCTGGACGATTGGGTGGCAGGTGCTAGCGAGGTCGTTGGGACTGTCATGATGGTTTTCAGTGAGTATCACGCCCTCAACAATGATCCTTGCTGATCGCGTTACGCAGTCTACTTCCAGATACACTATGGCGACGGTCGGCATCTCCTGGCATTGACGATGCGGGATGCGGAATGTCTGGCCAAAATGAACCTCCCTGCCGTGACTCTCTGGACCTTTGCCGTCACCGGAACTAAGGTCTCGATTCTTTTGCAATATCTGCGCATAGTCCAGTGTCGAAAGGCAACTCGCCTGATCTGGTTGCTCATGATCGTCGTTATCCTGGGCGGACTTAGCACTTTGGGAGTAATCATGACTGCGTGCATTCCCATTGCTGCGGTGTGGAATACGGATATCCGCCCACACGCCAAATGCCTGGATCAACGGCTCTTCTGGCAGATCCAATCCGGATTTGAAGCTGCAACGTGCTGGGCAATGTTAGGACTGTTGATTCCGACGATGTGGAGGATGCATCTTTCGCGACTCAAGCGCATCGGAATGATAGCACTGCTTGGGTTGAGCTCCTCATCTTGCGTCTCAAGTGTCCTACGAATGAAATCCGCTTTCGATGCCATCCCAGAGTCTGCCAACGAAGCGCACGACTTTACGTGGACAGGGGTCATGGCTACGACCTATGCCGTGAGCGAATTGCATAGTGCTCTCATATGTTGCTCTTTACCCGCACTGATGCCTCTTCGCTTCATCATTTGCTCATGCTGCTTCCCCTCCAGAAGGAGTTCGGAGCCAATGCAGGGCGGTCGACCGCCGCCCCTCGCACGACAAGAGCATAAGCTCGTCGTTGCGCGTCCCATTCTACCTACGCCTTCGATGACAGAAGCAACAGCTCAACGGAATAGAACGCCCCGGCCCGGTATCACGGAGGCATCTATTGAGAGCGCAGAATCTCACGGCGGCGGCAGCAGCACAAGAAGTCCATCAATACCACCACTAGCCTCACTCAATCCTTCTGCTGCTGTTGTGCGTACTGAACGTGAATCAAAGGGGGGACGAGTCTTGAGGGCCTTTGTTCCGAAGCATTCTCTCGGCCATCAATCGATGGTCATCTCGATGAGTCGATGACTGGAAATCTTGGGGAAGTGAAAGATAAATTGAAGGCTCGGCGCTAAGCATGTGAAGGTTGATGCGGACTCAACAGCCACGTCAGCTCTGTGTCATACCCATTTTGACCTCAAATTCACAGTCGTACTTGTGGATGTGGCTATGCAAGTCAGCACAACTCGTCATAGCAAATGGCACACCATGTCACCAGCAACCAACGCACAGGCACTTCCTGTGCCTACAGACCCCAGCGGCTTTATGCAACCACGCTCTACCACCATCGTTGAAGCTGCATCGAGCGAGCTTTCCGGTCACAAGAAGATGCTGCTCACTTTCAGTATCACTCTGGGAACCCTGATCGGAGTTGCTATGCTCTACATCCTCGTTCGCTTGCTGGCCAGGCACCGTAGAATCATGATGAAGGAGAAGAGGATGGAAATGCAGCCATTCCACGATAGTGCAACAACGTCGAAAGGAGACTGGACGGACGATGTCGCTCGTCAAGTATGAGCTGCCTTCATGAAACAGAGACAGGTTTGGCTAGCTGCCTCACTGAGCCGATCGCCACAGCATGCAGCTGAATACAAGCTGAGATCCCAGGACAAAGATGTGTTCAGTGAACAATGCACGGCAAACGTGTGCAGTCTCTCCGTGCGATCAAGCACTGTGTCTCAGCAGAACCCATCACGCTTTCCAACTCAATGATCTCCACAATCGCAAAGTCGACTCCCAAAGTCTGCAAGCATCACGCACCCAGCCTTACCGCAATGCCTCTTTGTAGCTATTATGGAACCACAAGGAATCACTTCACATTCAAGAATGCCAAGCCATCGACACAAAGAACCCTCCAAATACTCCCAAAATGGCACGCCAAGAAAGACCTCAAGAACAATATCAAGCACTGCCTGGCCCTGCTATATCTCCCACGTGTCAGTTCGAGGCCGTTTGCAAATCTTAAACTCTACCACTCCTTTATACCCCAATCGCTGGCGATCACAGTATATTATACAGCACCCACAACCAACATTCCTCACCCACCACCACACACATCCAACAAAACAAACCAAACCACACCACCACACAGCTTTCTCAAGCACCAACCATCATCGAAAATGGCACTGAAGTACAACCCCTGGAAGCCCCTTGCCGGTGGCTGCGTCCTTCAATTGAAGTACAATCCCTGGAAGCCTCTTGCCGGTGGCTGCGTCCTTCAATTTGTCAAGAACAACCCCTGGAAGCCTGTTGCTGGTGGATGCACTCTGCAGCAGCAATAGACTTCCTGCTCCATAACAGCAGGGAAGACGGCAAGGATGGTGAAGTGGAGAGAACATTAGCGCTTTGGCTTCTTTTTTTTTATATCGGCGGTACCTACCATATATGCCCCGAGTTTGAGAGTCTCGTGGCGAAATCTCATTAATATAGCATAGAAAATTTTGGGGTTTACTTTTTTGAGAAAAAAAAAACCAGTTTTTTTTTAAATTATTATTTAGAGCGATCGAAGGGTTTTTTTCACACTTTTTTCTTCTTAAATGTCTGTTGTTGTTTTTCTTTTACCGTGTTGCCATTCATTGCATGTTGCCTCTGAAAATCTGCGTGGTTGAAACTATAAGAAGTCGTTTTCATTCGGTCGTTTTATCGAGCCTGGTATATGATATGGTCGTCATAAAGGCCAGAGCAGAGTAATCATCATATCGAAGGACGCAAGGCAGCACGAATCTGCCTAGTCACTGTGAATAGGGGGCGCCGGCCTGGAAGAACGCTCCAAGGAGTACTAGTATCATCTTTACTTGTCAAGCAGTACTAGAAAGGCGTTCTATGCTATTGTTGTTCGAAGAAATTCTTGGTCGTGCTGCCTTTGATAGAGCAAACTGGTCTCGCTAAAATAAAATCTCGATTCCCACTACTAGGAAGGACTGTCTGCCCTATCAGCTTGCACCTGTATAAAATATCATGAGCTATTATTATATACAACTCTGACACCTTTGGAGGCGAAATTTGGAATCGCGAGAAGGGCTATTGCGGACTTCACTTGCAGCTAGCATGTGATCGAATGCGGATCTGGCCGAGAACCCGAGTCTTGCCGCCTTGGCTGCGCGTCTAGACCCTTTCTCAAGTGGTGCAAGACTATCTGGATGGATGAGAGGATTGGAGGAGGTAAGTCTGCATGTCTTGATGAATTCTGAGTTGTTCTGACCTGTGCAGAATCTGCACCCACTTCGCAGCTCGATCGTAAAGATTACACCGATGGCAGGGGAGAATCGCGGCAGGGATCGGGAGGAGTTTACGGAAGCGCTCAACGCTCTGCGGAAGACTACGAGGTGTTTAAGCTGCACCATCCCGCTTTCACTACCTACGGCACCATGGTGCACCAGTACGTCTATTATGACCTCCTCCGAGGCAATTACGCCTCTCGCGAGGTCGTCGAGTACCTCAAGCGCACCGTCGACCTCCTCCCTGGCCTGAGGAATGACGTGGAGGAGAAGCTAGTGGTGGAAAAGCCGAAGTACGAGTGGTACTTGAACCATTAGAGGATCAACAAGGCTAGGCGAGCTAAGGCAGAGGCAGAGGATGCTGCGCGTCGCCAGTAGATAGAGATGAGGCCAGATTGGGTGGCTTTCACAGTTAGAAAGGCGAGAAATCAATGAGAACCATGTTGTAATGTGCAAGGCGGACCAGAGCCTGCCGAAGCGTTCTATATTCTATCGGGCTTGTCTGTCGTTGCGAGCTATTCGAGAACCTGCTTGATGTAATTTGCAAGAATCTCAAGAGAGAGGCCGCATCCACCACATACCACAATGACTACCTGACTAGAAGGCTTTAGATGATGCGGTAGCAGCTGACGAAGCTTGCCACTGTAGGCAGTCGCAAGCGCCACGCCACACGACGGCTCTACCAGGATTCGCTCATCGTCTGCAAACCTTTTACATGCCTCGACCGCCTCGGCGTCCGAAAGGACAGCAGTAGTGACGCGGCTCTTGTCCGATGCGTAGTCGTACGCCCTTTTGGCTACTTTACGTGCGCCAAGGGTGGTGGCTATACTGGTGATCGCCGGAAGAGTAATATGCTCACCCTTCTCGATGGACTGTGCAAGGGAGTCTGCGCCTTTCGTCTCCACAGCTAGGACTTTCGTTGAAGAGCTAAGTGCAGCATAATTGTCCAGACCTTGCATGATTCCACTGAACAGGCCTCCGCCACCGACGCTGCAGACAATGGCGTCTGGTAGTCTCAACTCCTCGTCATGAAATGCCGTAAGGGAGGCTTCTTCACTGCTCGGGTAATATCGGTCCACTTTTGACATTTGACGTGCGATCTCATCGACGATTGTGGAGTTGCCAGTCCATATCTCAGGTGCGTCGAAAGGGGGCACGTATACAGCATTTTCCCTTCTGGCCTTCGCGGCTGGCAGAGCTTCTTCTCTTAGGAAAGTGTCAGCGTCGACCCACGAAGAGCCGTTTTGGATCACCTCGGTAGCTCCAGCTGCTCGTAGCTTTCCGATCATATAGTCCGACGTCGACATTGGCACAACGATGGTAGCAGGACAACCAAGTGTCACTGCGGCATGCACACATGCGAGTCCAGCATTGCCGCCAGAGCTGCAGAAAAAGTGAGGCTTGGCAGATACCCCATTAGTGGCGATAGCATTCGCTTTTGAGTCATCCGTAGGGGCAGCTGACAGGTGTGACTTCAGATAATTGCCAACGCCACGACTTTTGAAGGATCCGGAAGGTTGGACATTCTCTAATTTGAGGTAGATTCTGCTACGATTGCATCAGTAAAGTGGTCTTTGTCAGTCTAAGACGACTTCTCACCATCCTGCTGCTTCAGATAACGTGCGAGACCATATCAAAGGTGTCTCGATCCATGGGTTCTTTGTTGATACAGCTTTGGCCATTCTGCGTGGAGAACGAAATTTTTGGAGAAGAGTTCTCAGATTATTTGGGAGAGCTCTCTCAGCTTATCAGTCCTTTCCAAACAGTGTGGTGATCACTTGGAAGAAGATGCTGGGTCATGGTTGCAGCCGATGTAGTTGACGACAAGTTCAAGAGTCACTCGGCGGAACGGCGGAACGGCGGAACTGTCGGATCTGCAGCGGAAGTACGTCTTGGCATTCCGCTGGCGCGACGACGACATTGCCGCTCCCCTTCTCGCCCTCCAACTAGAATATCTCTTCAGCACTCTTCCAAGAAGCGTTAGTATCATGACAGCAATACCATACCACGGCATGTCACCTGCCTCTGATCGACACGTCGCTGCAATCGCAGCCAGCCTGTTAGGATGTTGATGTTATAGAAGTTGATTACTGAGTACTCACTAGTTAGCGCCTGTAATCATAATTATAGTCAATAATAAGTGAATAATCAGTAATCATAATCACGTAATTATATAATCAGTACCTATAGTAATGCTTAGGGTTAGGAAGGAGGTAGATTTATAAGCCGTTATCGTTACTAGCGCTAGAGACCGAGTATAAGACTAGCAGTAGTAGTAGTCCTTCGTCCGCCTCTTCTAAGGCGGCCAATTCCAATAGCACCTTAGCAATACCTGTTCTTATCCAATTCTTCGAGCACTTATTTATACGAATATAGTTACTATTTATCCGTACGCGGTCCTATCTAGTAGTGCGGCGGCTCTTACTAAAAGTCCTCTCGGACTCGGCGGATATAGCGAAGGCGGATAATGTATCGATAGCCAATTGCTATAACGCTAGATCGCACGTCTTCCGCTATTAGATCTACTAGCTAATAGGACTTATATAAGAAGGGTATATTAGCAGGTAGATAGGGTGGTAGTAGGTACGAGTAGTATTCGATAAGGAGCTAGGAGGAGAGGGAGGAAGGCAGGAGAGTTGGCCCAACGCTAAGCGCCAAGCCCTACCTAAGGCATTAAGACCCTAGCTTTACTCGGCCTAATTACATGCCAATCACGTGTAGCCTCTTTAGCTCTAACACACGCTTCCCTTCCAAAGGCCGCGCCCTCGTAGCCTGCCTATGTCCCACGACCTCTATTGCCGCTAACTTAGCTAGTCTAATAAGCTACTTAGCCCGCGCTAAATTGAACACTCAACTACCTAATTATATAACTATATCAAACCTCACCTCTAACAATACAATGTACAACTCTAACTGCGCTACCTCTATATACAATAAACTATAAAGTAATATGTATCTATAAGAATTAAAGGCCTTCGACTAATTACAATACGAGCGCGTCTTCCCTACTATAATAGGTAGACGTACGAGGTATTGCAGCCCTGCCTCCGCTCTAAGTAATATCGTACCGAGTTCTTTACGTCTACTCTTAAAAGACCTAGCAATGTCCGCTTCCGAGGGTTGTTCTTGTCGTTACGAGGGATTGTTCTTTACTATCGTAGTTTTACTAGCCCTAATTAGTTAGGTTTAGCGGCCTTTAAGTGTTAACTAATTATATCTTTCAAAAAAATACAGCTCGTCTAGTTTCTATAGGTGAAGGCCATTATAAGTGCAGTAGTAGAGGTTCGCCTCGCTTAAAGGGTCGGAAAGATCGAGGAGTAACCTATTGTCCGCAAGATCGACCCCGGCTAGCTTAGCTCTATAGTTTTGCCCTTAGTTAGTCCATTAGTCGCTTAATCTTTTGACTTAGTCAAAGTTTTAACTTAGCCTCAAAGTTTGATCAAACCTTTAATAGGCTTAAAGCTTTGATTAAAGTTTTGATTAAAGGTGCCTTAGGCTCGTAGTGTAGGTGAGGTTGTGTCTGCAGGCGTAGCGACAATAGCAAGTGATGTTAACAATAGTAGCGCTAGTCGTCTTAGCGCTAACTTCACCTTCTTTAACTAATAACAACTCGGCAACACCGTTACTAACATAGCGGTATCCTTCCTTTCTTAAACAGCAATACACCCCGCAACACTATTACTAATATAGCCGCGCCGGCCACGCCGATTGCCTAGGCCTCGAGGCCTCGACGGAATGAGGGAATAAGAGGGGGACCTGTAGGGCGCGTTAGTAAAGAGGTAGAATCCTTAAAAGAGCAGGCAATTAGTTAACGCGTCGTAGCGCGCTTATTGACACTCGGTGCGCGTTTACTATAGTAGTGTAGTCTTATTGTCCTTTGTTACTAACAATTGCTTGCTTCTAATTGGTTAGCTAATAGCACCCCGGGGGTAGCATTAATCCTAGGCCTTAGTAGTAACATTATAAGCTTTTGGCCTTCTTCTTGTTCTTCACGCTAGTCTAATACTCATCCAACAACTCGGTTATATCCTTAAAGGAGTCTTTAGCTTCCTATAAGTCCTATTCTAGTAAATAGCCTTGCTATCTTAGTAGGTACTCCTTCTTGCCCTTCCTAGTCCGGTGCTATAGGATACGTTCTATAGACTACAGTTCTTCACTATTAGCTAAGACTTCTTCTAACTTAGCAGGCGCTTTATTACCTTCGCGTTAATAGTATAGCTTAAGGAGGGATATATAGAAGGTGTTATAGATAGTGTAATAGGGTAGAAGCTACAACTAGTAGGCCTATATGCCCTTCGGTTCTCGGATGCGGAATAGGCCAATGTATCTTAGTGCGAGCTTAAGCCTTGTTTTGCTATTAGGTAATAGGTGTTTGCGGATGCGGAGGTTCTTCGTACTAAGTATAACTATATCGCCTTACTTAAAGGTTATCGGTGTGTAACGCTTGTCGTAGTAGGTCTTTTAGTACTCTTAAGCCTTTGTCAACTTCTCGGCTATCTTAGTATAGATTTCTCGTATCTTCTAAACCCTCTCAATAGCCGCTAGTGTCTTAGATTGACCCGCTTCCCTTTCCTTACGCTCGGCCTTAAGCGATAGGGGGTCTTGTAGTAGCGTAGGGTTGCTTCCTATTATAGCGAAATAAGGTAACACCTTAGTAGATAAGTGGACACTGTTGTTGTATACAAATTCGGCTAGTTGTAGGAGATTAACCTAATCCTTAGGGTTCTCGTTAATATAGCTGCGTAGGTACTGCTATAGGGTAGCATTCTGTCTCTCTATTTGACCGTCAGTCTATAGATAGAAGGCTGTTAATAGCCGATACTTTAGTCTTAGCTATAGGCATATTTCGCTCTAATAGTGCGATATGAATGTCGAGCCCCTATCGGAGACTATCCCCTTAGGGGTTCCCTAATAGGTATAGAAGATGTCAGTCTATAGCGCCTTAGCTAGGTTAATAGCCGTCCAATCCTTTCGGGTAGGAATGTAACGAGCGCCCTTAGTAAACCGGTCTACGACAACTAGGATAGCATTATATACATCCTTGCTTCCCCTACGCTTAGTAGGCGGAAGGCCTATAATGAAATCTATTATAAGCTTAGTAAATGGCTTCTTTAGAACAGGGAGTGAAGACAACTCGCTAAATGGTAAGTGCTTTAGTGCTTTAACTCGTTAATATACGGCACACGTGTTTACGTAGTCCTTTATGTCCCGCTTACTATTTAGCTAGTAGTATGTGCGCGATAGTAGCTCGTGCGACCTCTCTATGCTATAGTGACCGGCAAGCTTACTATTATAGTGTCGCTTGAGAAGTTCTTGTCTAATCGATTGTTTAGCGGGGACATAGTATCTGCCCTTAAACCTTAAGTGACCTTTGTCGTCGATCGACCAATTACTCTTACTAGATCGAGTCTTTCGCCTACTTACAAGCTTGTCTATACGTTTAGCAGCAAAGGCGTCCCTCTGCTAAGCCCGTAACAGCTCATCTATAAACGATTAACTATCCCTATTTGCAAGGTTATTTAACAGCACCCTCGCTATTAAACGAGGTACGCATTGTATGTATCTAATAGTACTAGCAGCCGGATCAACTGCAGCAGTGCTATCGCTGTTACTATATATAGCGATGTCGACTAGGGAGTTATTATAACTTCTCCTATCTGTGTCCTTAATACGTACTGTTAATATAGCAAGAGCATTAATATACTTTAAGCCGTCGCGGAGTCCGGTAAGCCGCTTATCCTACGCTTGCTTATTAACAACACGGGCTATAGCAATCTTATGCTATAGGGTTGGAAACAATGAATTGATAGATTGCTAAGTCCCGCTGTCGTAATCAGGTCGCCTCGATAGGCTATTAGCAGGGTTGCTTACGCCTAGCCGATATAACACATTAAAATCAAACCTAGCGAGGTAGACGGCCTATCTAGCCTATCGACCTATAACCCTAGTAACCTTCGTAATTCTACGGAGGTTGTTATAGTCCGTATAGACCTGAATAGTATGCTAGGCACTATCGAGATAGTAGCGCTAGTGCTTGAAGGCTTTAATAATAGCTAAGAGCTCTTACTCGTAGGTCTCGTAGCGACGCTTAGCATTAATCATCTTCCTCGAGAAGAAGGCAATTAGGTGCTAGTAGTGGTCACTGTCTAACTACTAGGACATTATGGCTAATATAGCGAACTGTGAAGCGTTAGTCTCAATTCGGATCTGCTTGTTTAGTACAAAATAGTGTAATAGAGGGACTTTAGTAAATCGCTTCTTCAAACCGTTAAAAGCGGCTTATGCTCTATTAGTCTATTTGAACTCTCTAGTTGGGTTAGCCTTAGTTTTAGTGAGCTCAGTTAGGGGCATTACATGCCGTGAATAGCCCTTAATAAACCGGCGGTAGAAATTAGCGAAGCCGAGGAACGATTGAAGCTCCTTAATAGACGTAGGAACAGGCCATTTAGTAATTGTTTTAATCCGATTAGGATCAGCCTTAACACTATTAGTTGATACGATGAAACTAAGGAAGGCCACCTCCTTAGTAGCAAAGGTGCATTTAGAAGGCTTGTAATATAGTCTATAGGCTCGTAGGCGATCGAGCACCTTGCGGACTGCAGCCTAGTGCTCCGCAATGTTAGGTAAGTGTGTGTAAACTAGGATGTCATCTAGGTAAACCATACAGAGATGGTCTAATAGGCCCGAAAGGGCCCGATTAATGTAGGACTAGAATGTGGTAGGGGCATTAGCTAGCCCAAATGGCATAACTAAGTATTCAAAATAGCTATAACGAGTGCGGAAGGCTGTTTTCTATTCATCGCCCTTACGAATGCGGATACGATAGTACGCATCCTTAATGTCTAATATAGTGTAGTAGTAGGTACTAGAAAGGCGGTCGAGGGTCTTATTAATAAGCGGGAGTAGATAGCGGTCTTTAATAGTAATAGCGTTAAGCCTACGATAGTCGATACATAGGCGTAGGCTACTATCCTTCTTTAGTACGAACAGGATAGGTACACTAGCAGGGCTGTTACTATACCGTATCCGGCTATTAGCTAGGTTTTCCTCTAGGTACTTACGCAACATAGCAAGCTCTCGTTTACTAAGGTTGTAGAGGGGTCTAAAAGGGACCTCTTTGCCCTCTATAATATCAATCTTATAATCCGTCTCTTTAAATATAGGCAATGTCGATGCTAAGTAGTGTTCAAACACATTAATGTAGGTTTCTCGAATAGGCTCCGGTATACGAGCAAGCTAATTAGGATCTATGCTATTAGGGGGCATAGGCTTATCGTTATCGCCTAATAGGTCGATTGTTAGGTTAGCTGCGGTAGGTGTTAGGTTGCCGATGAATAGAACCCTAATATCGTTAGGGCACTCGCTAACATCGATGTGTTTAATGTCCTCTTTCCTAGCGATTCTAAATCGCTACTGTTAACTACCTAAGTCTATAACTATAGTATAGTACTTGAGAACAGGGTTACTAATAACAATCTTAGATGGGAGGCTGTCTATGTCTACCGCGTAGGCAGTGAAGTTTAGTAGGCGCTCATTGCCGAGGTCGTCCTTTAGGGCTATATAGATATAGTAGGCCCTATAGGTCAAGTGCCGAGCGTTATTAAACCAAGCAAGGGTTGGTAGGTTAGTCCTAGGCAGTTGTCGAAGGTCTAATTGCTTAGCTAGGCGATAGCTAATAAGGGCGCTAACTGAATTTCCTAGATCTAGTATAACCTTAGTCTTATAGTTAGTGTCGGGCCCGGATATGAGACAGGTACGTGTAATAGCTAGCACAATGTCGATAGTCTTACGCCGTACGAGGCTAACAGTTAGTGCGGCGCTTACTCTTTTTTCGAAGGACCGATAGGGATAGCATTAGCGGCTGAAAGGTGCTTACGGTGCTTAGCGGTAGCACGGTCGATTCGGGCCTAATCCTTAGGTTTGTCGTATTAGCCTAGTAGATAGCTAGTGCTGTTACAGTTGAAGCACTTCAACCCGGTTAGTAGACTGCCGTAGCTGTTGTTATTGTTAGTAGAGCGGTTAGTATTGTAGGGATACGAGCCCCTTCTACGGCCTCTATCGCGGCCTCCTCTATATAGCCGGCGGCTACGGCCTCTTCTACGGTTATTGTTACTGTTCCTATTGTTAGTATTGTTGTTATAGTAGGAACCTTAGTTTCCTCCGCGGCTACTACGATTGCCGCGGTTAGTACTAGCTAGTCGGATCCTCGATTCTAGTCGTTGTTAGAGCTAAACAGCCCGCTCGGCTGTTTCTACTTCGACTATGAATTAAATGCGTGTTAGGTTAGCCTGTTTAAACACACGGCGGCGGTCCAATTCAAGGACTAGTTCCCATCTCAGTTTAGGTCGTATCTTAGATATCCAGATAGAGTCGGTTTTGGGTAGTAAATCGTCCTCGAGGGTCTTCAAATAGGCCTTAAATAAGCGAGCCGATTGATCAGTCTTTTGTTTAGCTCGAAGGTATTAGTCCTAAGCGTGTTGTTGCCTTAGTATAGGGTTTCTAAGGGTGTCTAGTATAATGGTCTTATAGTCTTGCCACTAAACAGCGGTCTAATTAGTAAGGGAGTCGAAATAGTTATCCTAGGTGCGCTTTAGGTCTCTATCAATGTATTGCATAGCATAGACGACTAGTAAGTAGTCATCTAGCAGGGCCCTTAGTGCATTCCGCTAGTTCAATTCACAATTACGTATGTAATCATTGTACTGCTTGCGGCTAGAGCTATCAAATACGGTACAGTCTTTAAGCTTAGCATCCTTCTTTTAAATAGAAGGTACTGCTACTAGTTCTAGTCTAGCAGTAGTTGTTAGGGCTTCCTATAGGCGGCGAATCTCGAGGAGATTATCCTTTAGCTGTTGTTCTTAACGTAGGGCAGTAAGCCTGTTCTAAGTAGCTTCTTGAAGTCTCGCTACTAGTTAAGGGCTAAAGGCTGGCTAGCTATATCGTCGATTAACAATGTTGTTAAGAATGTCGTTAACAGGCAATTCTAGATCATCACCTAGAATTGCAGGTTCTTCTTTAGTAGGTCCTATAGCAGGCTCTTCGGTAGGAGGCACTTTAGCAGGTGCTCTAGTAGGCACTTTAGTAGGCACTATGCTACTAGCATTGTCGTTGCTAGCGCTGCTAGCGGCAGCACGGTTGTTGTTTCGTAATAAGCCGGCTATTGTAATAGGGGGTAATACTAATAATGTATTGTTAGCCCCTAAGATACGGATGTAGCGGAATTAGTGGGTATTAGTCTAGTGCGATTGACTTAGTATAATAGGCCGTATAGAAGGCCTTGCTTGATGATTAGTACGGTTGTTTCGATAGAATAGTACGTGTAGGTCCCGTTCTTAGGGCGCAATATAGTTAGATTAGTCTTGTTCGTAGCTATACCGCTAAAAGCTTGAAATAAGGACTATCTAGCTACTACCCTTAAAGGGTGGATCGAATACTGTATAAGAAGGGTATATTAGCAGGTAGATAGGGTGGTAGTGGGTACGAGTAGTATTCGATAAGGAGCTAGGAGGAGAGGGAGGAAGGCAGGAGAGTTAGCCTAACGCTAAGCGCCAAGCCCTGCCTAAGGCATCAAGACCCTAGCTTCACTCGGCCTAATTATATGCCAATCACGTGTAGCCTCTTTAGCTCTAACAACTTATTAATACTAGCTTCTCGAAGCTAACTAGTAGTAGTACTATTAGACTAGCGTAGATAAAGGCTTCGAAGGGGTCCTCGTTAGTAGCAATAAGGTTAGTTTAAGACTTAATTTGCTAGCGTTTAAGGTCCGAGAGCCCTTCGAAGGAACGTTATAGTATAGACTATAGTTAATAGCTTCCGAAGCGTGCCTTATAATCGCTCTAAAGCGCTCTCGTACGCGAGAGTAAGGTATCTACGTCTACTATAGAGCGGCCTTAAAGCCAAGCAAGTCGTCGAGTTAGATATAGCAATACTACAGTTACGTAGAGAGGGCTCTTCTAGTTAAGGCTATAGTACTTCTTAAACAGTACGCTTGCAACGTTAATAGATCGAATAAGGACTATCCGGTACTTATTCTTAATAGCTAAGCGACTAAAGTGGCTTCTTAGATACTCTATAGACTCTTAATATATATCGAATATAATAGTATTGCCTTCAAGCCGAAGGGTAACCTCTTTAAATAGATTGAGGAACCTCCGAGTATACGTAAGGACCTTCTAGTTATCCTCGGATAAGCTAAACTCGCGGAGGTATAGTATTCTATCGAAGAAGGTGTTTAGAATAGGCCTTATTTGAATAGCCTCTTCTATTATTAGAAGCTAACTATTCTATCGTGTCTCGCTAGGGATCTTTAGAGTTATATATAGCAATTAAAGCTAGGCCTTATAGACTTCTTAGAAGATGTTGTAGTTGTCGTTCTTACGAAGAAGTTTAGCGAGAGCGAATAGCCGCTATAGTAGACCTTGCTTAACAAACGAGTCTACGTCTATATCGAGCTACCTAGATATAGATACGCTATTACTATCGTTAGTTAGCACTGTTTGACTAAACTCTTCGCTTTCTGCGGCCTCTACGTCCTTCGCAAATATAAAGGCTATTATTATACGGTTAAGAATATAGCTAATATAGCGCAACCGACGGTCCTTCTAGTGCGAGTGCCCTTATAAGTCTATAAAGCGCTTAATAGCTAGACTAAGCGTATTGTTATTGGAACCACTATTAGTCGTTATCTAGCCGAGTTTGCTAGATATTTAGAAGGTTAAGAAGTATAGAAGAACAGCCTTTACAAGGAAGTCACTAGTATAAGAACTAGGTAGCAAATGTAGCAAATCTAGCAGTATTTAGACTAGCTTACCGCGTAGATTAATATACTAGCAATTAATAGCTTAGAAGAACTTATAGCCGTGCTATAACTTCTAGGTATTAGTATAGAAGTGAAGACAGCTAAGCGCTTCTAATAGTGCGAGTTTAACTCGTTCTCGCTAGCCCTCGAAGTTATATAGAATACGAGGATATAGTAAGGTATAGCTCTTAAGAAGGACGTCTTCTGCGTATAGATTAACCGCTAGGATAAGCTCTTTGAATTCCTTTGTAACTAGTGCGTTATAAGCGATACTGCTAGCTATTGCAAAGCGAGCTAGAGCGTACCTAAACTTGTCCTTATCGGCGGCTCCTTTAAGGATATTAATAGTCTTGTCCGAGTTAATAGTACCTTGCTTCTTCTACAGCGCCGAGAGGTTAATCTTAGTCTAATAGGTACTATCAAGTTTCCGCTTCTTACTGCCGATAAAGATGAAGTGCTTCTTTGCTAGGTACTAAGGCGCGTTACTAGAATTAGAAGCATACCGATTAGGGTCGTTATCGTTATAGTAGATATAGTAGAAGGCCTTATGCCTGCCTCTATCTACCTTTAAAGGCTCCCTATCTTTTAGTACTCTCGCATACGCCTATAATACTAGATCTAGCTAATTTCTGCCTCTTCTGCGCCTCTTTAACTCAGTAACCGTAGGCGTAGGTATCGGCTATACTATATTCGCTATATTCGAGGACTGCGAGGTAGATAGTCGTATAGTATTCGAAGATTAGAGGAACAAGGTATCCTCGTCTAGTATTAGAGATAGTAGTTTATTAGCTTCGGAGGTTAGAAGGTCGCTTAGATCGCTCGAATCTTTATAGAATAGTATCCGATCTAGTAGGTTGTTTTCCCGACTCGATACTTAGGTATTTATATAATTTTCTAGCACTTTTTGAGTTAGTTTATGCTTCTTACGGAGGTTGTCTCGCATGTCGAAGGTGTTGTTATCTTAAATTAAACAATGAATATTAAACTTTGAGTTTGCTAGCGTACGGCTAAGCCGTACGGACCTTGCCGTCTGTATTAAGCGAAGCTTATCTATTAGGCTTAGCTAGACCCTAAGGGGCTAATATAATGTAATCTTAGCGGTTTAGGTAGGCGCGATAGCAAGCTCGAATACTAATATCTACGACTAATTCTATACTTAACTAACAATAACAACCTTAGCAACCTTAGCAACCTCGCTATCGATTAGACGGTATAGCACCCTATCGATCCGATCCTTGAAATATATCTGCCGTATCGGGCACTACGATTTTAGCCCGAGAAAGCACTCTTCTAAGTAGACATACGGTTTTCTACTAAACTTAAAGTAGCGACGAGAACCTAGCGCTATTCGCCTTCCTTTCCGCTCTATGCCCTTCTAGACTCGATTAACACTATTAGATATACGCTCCTAATAGACTCCGGCCCTTTTAACGATCTCCTTAGTATAGCGAAGGCTCTTTGTCGTCTTCCTTATAACCCTTCGATATAGCAACTATAAGCCCTCCTTTTCCGCCTCTCTAATATACTGCTTGAAGTCCTTCTATACTACTTCTTCGATAAAGGATAGTATACCGGCTTGTTAGAAGTATAGCTAAGCAGGAGTAATATAACGGTCGGTTTAGTTAAGAGTTGGATAAGTCGCTAGTACGTCCTTTAGCAATAACTATAGGTAATAGCTTTATAGTGCTAAGAAGGCTTTAGTTAACTAGTCGGAAGTCTATACTAGCGGTAGTAAGAGGTCTTCCTCTTAAGAAGATATAGACTTAGCAACCTATCCAAATTAGCGACCTCGTATACCTATATTCCACTTACTTACCTCTCGATAGAAGTGCCCTATTTTAGGTATATTATTATCTATAGAAATAGGAGGAAACAGTGTAAATTTAATACCTACTATAGGTGTAACATACACCCTAGTATTGCCTAGAAACAGCCGACTGATTGCTAATTATAATCACTAGTCACTCACTCAATAATCATAATCGTAGTCACATGTGATTACAGTGACTAGTGATTATTAGTAGTCAATAATCAACAAGTATAGTTGATGTTGACATACCCGTCTCTGTTAACGCAGCAATATTCTCGCCATCGCTTCCCACAGTCCCCATTCTCAGCATAGTCGGCCTGCTGAGCGACTCTGGTGCGGTCTCATACTTCATTACCATCAGCTGTGTGCTGGCAAGACGACTGCATGGCCGACCGCTGCTGTTGGGCCGCTGGTCTTTGGGGCTGTTGTATACTAATTCATCTATGACAGGAGAGAGTATACAAGGCCGGTCGAGCACATTCATCGCAATTGTTGATAAGCAGAGTGAAGGCGCATGGAGAGCTTGATCAGAAGCTATGGGGTGCAAGGCGAAGTGGAGACCCACAGCTACAGCTTCATCAGGCAGTTGGAGCACTTCCCATCTTTCACTATTCTCCAGAGCATACATATACCTGCGACGCTCACATCCGTGATAGAAACGACAATCAAGATGGCTACGACCACCCCTCCATTCATCCTCACCCGCGCCACACCCCAAGACATCCCCGAGATATGCAGCCTGATGTACGACAGCTTCCCTCCCCACATCCGACTCCTATTCATGGGCTGCGAATCTCTCGACGATCTACCAAAATACCAAGAACAATGCATCCATCGAATGCACACCGATAAATCCGACATCTGGATTCAAGTTCGAGACCGAGCGACTGGCAAAGTGATTGCGGCCGCGAATTGGAAAGTCTATGTCAATGGCGAGCCCGAAGATCTCGGAGAGGAAATCCCGGATTGGGTTTCTGAGGGGCAGAAATGGCGGAGTGAGGAGGCGAAGAGGATTATGGGGGAGAGGAGGAAGACGGCGAATCCGGGGCCTTTTGTTCGTAGGTTTTTTTCTTCGACCATTCAAAAGATTTCCCTGTTTACTTTTGATATTTTGCTCATACATATCACTTTCAGATCTTCATATTTGTTTCACCAGTTCGGAGTACCGAAGGCGCGGCGCAGGCTCGATGCTATTACAATGGGGCGTGGATGTTATATATTGTAGATAAGCGGTAAACCGATAGAATTGCTTGCTTTTCGAACAAAGGACTCACTAGCTACTTATATACCCTAGCGCCAAGAATCACAAGCTATTACTAAGCCGTAAGTGAATGACCTCGCAACTTCCTTCTCCTTCTCTTGCTTATAAATCCAACTAGACTCGTACATTCCCGAGTATTCTAACACTCCCTCTACTTAGCTATTTAGCCGTAAACCAAATAGCTAAGTCCTAATGCTTCTTAATCGTTTTTATTGTCCCTAGGACTCTTTTTACGTTTTCTTCGAACTTCCCTTTTGTTAGGGGCTTAGTAAGGAAGTCCGCGAGTTGGTCCTTTGTCGGAATATACTTTATATCGACTAGCTTGTCCTCGACTAGTTCCCGTACGTAATGTGCCGCTACGTCGATATGTTTCGTTCTAGAATGAAATTCCGGATTTCGTACTAAAGCGATAGCCGCCTTATTGTCCCCGTAGATAATCGTAGGTTCTTTATAGTCGTCTTCCGTAAGGTATCCGACTTGCTCGAGGAAATTTCGGATCCAAATAGCTTCTTTTGCGGCGTAGGATAGCGCTAAGTATTCGGCTTCCGTAGTACTAGTCGTTACGGACCTTTGTAGTTTAGTAGACTAAGATATAGGTCCTCCGGCTAGTAGGGATATATATCCCATCGTTGACTTCCTAGTTGAGTCCGCCGCGTAATCCGAATCGGTATAGATAACCGGTAGACGAGTAACTAGAGTACTCGTATTGTTTTCGTTCTTCGGGATAGGACTATACTTTATATAGTAGTCCCGAGTGTTCCCTAGGTATCTAAGGCCGTAGATACCTCCGTCGTAGTGTCTCCTAGCCGGATTTACCGTAGATTAGCTTAGTCTCTGCGTTAGAAAAGATATATCCGGCCTCGTAGCTCGTACGGTCCAATTTAGTTTTCCGATAAGTCGTTAGTATCTCCGGACGTCTACTACCTCCTCGTCCTTTGTTATAGGTAGTAAATTCGTATATCCGTTTGCCGGAGTCGATACTCGGAAGGTTTCGTCTAGATCCAAGCCCTCTTCTCTAAGCGTATTTTCGATATAGTGCCTTTAATCTAGTAGTATAGATCCGTCGGCCTCTCTCTCGATTCGTACGCCTAGTATAAACTTAGCGGGACCTAGATCCTTCATTTCGAACCTCTGTATAAGCCCGTCCTTTAGCGGTTTAACCTCCGCCTCTGTCTTCGCTAGTATAATAAGATCGTCGACGTACAACGCGACTATTAGCGTATAGTCGCTATTAACGAAGACCGATTAATCCGCGGGTATAGCGTAGAGGTCGTATTCTTCAAAGAAGGCCGTAATAGTCTTATTCCAAACTCGTCCGGATTGTTTTAGTCCCGGTACTCCTTTTAGGAGTTTAAGTACTTTATTAGTTCCGGGAACATCTAGGCCTTCCGGGATAGCTAGGTAGACTTCCTCCGTTAGTTCTCCTAGTAGGTAGGCACTTACTACGTCCATTTGGAATATAGCAAGTCCTTTACTAGCGGCGATAGCTAGGAGAAGGCGTAGGCTTTCGAGACGTATTACCGGAGAAAACGTCTCAAAGTAATCGATTCCGTAGCGTTGCGTAAAGCCCTTTCCTACTAATCTCGCCTTAAATTTATCAATTTGTCCGTTCGGTAGTATTTTTACTTTAAAAACCTATTTCGGAGTAATAACGTTTATTTGCCCTTTTCCGTCCTTTAGCTTAGAATAGTCGACAATCTCGTAGGTATTGTTAGCCGTTAAGGACTCGATGTGTTCTTTAATAGCGTCTTTCTACTGTCGGGAGTAAGGGCCGGTAATAGCCTCCGTATAGGTCTCGGGGGTAGGTATTTCGAAAGCCTTTCGATAGTCGACTTTTAGAGCTGCTAGCCCTATTTCGTCCCTTAGTCTCTTAGGTGCTTTAGGGACCCTCGTAGACCTTCGTAGTTCCCCTTCGTTTAAATCCGTAGTAGTAGAAGCCGTAGGAGTAGTAGACCTTTCGTCGTCGTTTTTATTTAAACCGTCTTCTTCGTCTTGCGGTTTCGTAGTATTATCTTCGGCTTCGGAGTCTCCCTCTACTTCCTCTACTTCTCGAGACTCTCCTTTATCTAGGATATCGATATCTCCGTCGTCGTTGTCCGTAATAGGCCGTAGGGTAGGTAGCTCTTCTCCGGATAGTAGGCTACTTCCCTTAGTCGATTCGTCGAATTTAACGCTAGTATAGATCCCGATAGCGTCCGTCTTAGGATTATAGATCCTATACTGTTTCGTAGACTTCGTATATCCGACGAAGATTCCCGGGAATGCCGTCTTTTCTAGCTTATCTTTCCTTTTCTCTTTAGGAATAAACGGATAGGCTAGGCAGCCGAATACCCGTAAGTGTTCTCCGCTAGGCTTTCTTCCGGTATAGAGCTCCTCGGGAGTTATATCTTTTCCTTTAATAGGTAGCCTATTATGTAAATAGGTAACCGTATAGGCCGCTTCGCCCCAAAATCGTTTAGGTAATCCGGACCCTTCTAAAGCTGCCCGTACCTTAGTTATAATAGTACGGTTTTGTCTCTCTGCTACTCTGTTTTGTTCCGGAGTATAGGGCGTCGTTGTTTCGATTCGTAGTCCCGGATAGGCCTTAAGAGCTTTAATAAGCTCCGGAGCGTTGTCGATTCTTACGGCCTTTAGTTTCCTCCCGGTTTCGAGTTCGGCCTCGTTTTTCTAAGCCTTAAAGGCTTCGTATACGTCGCTTCTATAGCGAGTAAGACGGATATCTAACCGTCTCGTAGCGTCGTCCGTAATCGTTAGTATATACCTGTTTCCTCCTAAGGTACTGTACTTATACGGACCCCAAAAATCGATATATACCCTATCTAGGCAATAGTCTGCCTTTTCGGGTTCTTCTCGACTTTGTCGTCTATCGGACTTCGTAGTAATATAAGTCTCGCAAGACTTATTTAACGTCGAAAGCTCCGGGACTCCTAGTAGTACTTTATGTACGTTTCGTTGTTTTTCGTCTCCCGGATGTCCTAGGCGTCGGTGCCAAAGTAGCGTAGTACCTTTAGTCGTAGTAGTAGCTATTCTCGAAGTCCCGATAGACTCGGATTCCTTTAGAACGTAGGACCTTCCGACGCGTACTCCTTTTGCTAGTTCTTCGTTTCCTCTTCGAAGTATAGCCCCTTCTTTAGTAAATAGAGTCGTAATACCTCGTTCCGAGAGTTGGCTTATCGAAAGCAGGTTATAACCGATCTCCGGTACGTATATAACGTCCGGAATCGTAGTCGGAATTCCTTTAAACCGGACAAGGATTGTACCGGATCCCGCGACCTTTATTGTTTTACCGTTCGCTAGAGTAACTTTTCCGGTTATTTCCTTATAGTCCGTAAAGTAGTTCTTGTCGTTAGACATATGTCTAGTGCATCCGGAGTCTAGGATCCAATCCCCTTTATTAGATAGTCGAGTCGTAGAATCGATAGCCGTCTAAGCCGCGATCTTAGATTCCTCCTTATTTTCCTGGACTTTTCCGTTCTTTTGGTCCCATTTATATTTCCTACAGTCCCGTTTAAAGTGCCCGACCTTTTGGCAATAGTAACACGTCTTTCCTTTAGCTTTGTTAGGCGTATTAGTCGTATTGCCCTTCTTTCCGTTACCGGCCTTATCTTTCGCCGCTTCCTTAGTATATCGGGCTACTACTTCGTCGCCTTTAGAAGTAGTAATAGTATATTCAACGTCCCGTAGTCGCTGAACTAGTTCCTCGTAGGAAAGAGTAGATAAACCGGCCGCCTTTAAGGCGAATACGGTAGACGAATACTCTTCTCCTAAGGACGAAATAAGGACTGCCTTCTTAGAGGCCTCCGAGGGAACTTCGTCTTTATCCGCGGCCTTAATTTCGGATTGGATTTGCGTAAGAGCTGAAGCCGTAGTATCGATATCCTTAAGTGCTTTAAAGGAATAGAAACGGGAGAGTAGCGTCGAAACCCGTTCCTTTGTCGATACCTCGCTTACTTCCTTTATCTTATCGATTACCTCCTTAGTCGTACGTAGTCCTAGGAGGTGTATACGCTTATCCCCGGCCGTAGACTTAATAAACGCAACCGCTTTTGCGTCTTCTTCTTTAGCCTCTCTTGCTTTAGCCGTATCTTAGCTTATAGATTCCGGTATACCGTACCTATACCTCCAAAGGCCTTGTCCGGATAGATAGTCTTGAATTAGATCGATCCAGATAGTATAATTCTCGGTAGTAAGTTGCGGAATTCCCTTTACCGCGCCGATAGTCGTCTCGGTAGTAGACATCTTTATCGTTAGATTTCTCGACTCGTAACGGTCGTATCGTTGATATTTTTAGATCGTTTGATTCGTATTAATCGGTTCTTTTCGCCTATAGACCGGCGTCTATAGCGGAGCAATAACCGTTATCTTATTGTTGTTCGAAGTTGGTCGCTTTCTTCGATTTGCGGAGTGACGTCGGATAAGGTTTAACCTTGTATAAGCGGGTTGCCTGATCGGGTAATTTCTCGAACTTTCTTGTTTCTTCACTTGCGTTCCGGGCTCATAACTATTGTAGATAAGCGGTAAACCGATAGAATTGCTTGCTTTTCGAACAAAGGACTCACTAGCTACTTATATACCCTAGCGCCAAGAATCACAAGCTATTACTAAGCCGTAAGTGAATGACCTCGCAACTTCCTTCTCCTTCTCTTGCTTATAAATCCAACTAGACTCGTACATTCCCGAGTATTCTAACATTATAGATACTTTGTTCCTACCTGGTTGGATCGAGGCGTCCGTGGAAGGAAACTTCTTATACAAGGGGTTTGGGTTTTATGATTATGAGAAGATTCAGGTGCTTGAGATGACGAGTGGGACGAATATGAGACGTGATGTGAGGAGTAGTGGTATTGCAGGAGGTAGGCCGCTACCTTGAGTATCATGTCCGACGGCCCTCTGATCGTGTCCACCTTAAGCTGATCATCGCCTAAGCTTCTTCCTTATCTCAAGGGTCTTCGTCGCCTGAACCGACCTCCTCGTCTGAGAACTCCTCTGTCATCTGAATGGTGTTTTTCGTCTGTCTCATACGTGTCGGCCGAAGTGAGATAAAACAAAACCCAGTGGATAGCGGCCCAAAGCAAGCCAAAGCACACCATCCTTGGTTGAAGCCGGCCATTGGTCTTGGGTAGACACAGCCGCCATCATATTTTCGTGCGTGTCGAAATGGAAGAATTCCACACAGCGATCCCCATCGATCCCCGGCTCTGACAGGTATGGAAGGACAAAGCAAGCTTGACCCGTACGATATTGATACTTCCACCCTCGACACTCCGGAACCAAGTAATGATCCCCACGCACGTAGAACATCGCGTAGATGCGAAGCTGGGTCACATGGTCAAGGTCTTCCTCCCTTAACGCATCAAGAGCGCCAGAATACATTTCTCCCTCATCTCTGTCGATCTTGAATTTGGTGCTTCTCCAGTAGCGCTGATGCTCTGCCTTGTACATCTTGGCAGCCTCGCCGTGGATTTTACGACAGGTCACAAGCAAGTCCTTGGGTGGCGACTTTGCCTTGCAGAGACTGACCTCGCCAGCCTCATTTTGTTCGTCATCAGGCGCGAAGGTCAGTTCGTAGATGCGGTTGCGCAATTCCGCCGGAATCTTCTTGAGCAAGTAGCACGGCGGCGGTGGGTCAGCCATTTTGAGGGTGACGCGCCTGTTGAAATGTTAGTGGCAATGTCAAGTAGTTGACATGCGTTGATCTTTTGCGTAGAATACCGATCGCGATTGCCTGCTGGTGCCAAAATGGTACCCGGTAGAGATTTCGATCTCGTGGCGGAGAGGTCGAGGTCGAAGAAGAAAAACTTTCAAAGTCGTGTTTCAAAAAGTAACTTCGATCCCACGCCGTTGCCAAGACCAGCACATGCATGCAGCAACAAAATTTCCCTTAAATCGAGGCAAGTACAAGTGCTTACACATCCATCCCCATCCACATCCTCGCTCCAACTCCACATACTTCTATCCCCCCTTCTAGTTCCATTTCCAATCCTTATCACTTACTTCCTACCAAAAAACGCATGAAACTCCGCCCCACCCAAATTCCCATACACAGCCTGCGCCCGATCCGTCACATCATTATTCTTAAAATTCTGCTGCTCAGAATTCGCAGGAATATTTCCAGCATTTCCATACATAGCCACGGCCTCCTTTCCGGCTTTATTCCCTTCCCAAGATTGATTTCCTAGGCGTTTGGTGGGTTGGAGATTTGAGTCTTGAGAAGAAGAAGAAGAAGCTGCTGCTGCTGGTGGAAATCGATTAGACTAGGATGAGTTTGAATTGTTTTTGTTCGGATGAGAGCTTACCGTTCGTGTGATTCTCTTTTTTCTTGATGTCTTCCATTGTGGAGATATTTGAACCCCCAAGCGACTGCCCTTGGCCTTGGAATTTGTTGGTTCGAGAACTCATGTCTGTCTACTTGAAACGAAGGTGGCGAGTGAACAGATATTGAGGAATATTAAGGAGCTCCCTTTTAAAAATCCGTGTTTGTTGGAGAAAAGGGTCAAAGATTTTGAGAAAGCAATCTATTCTTCCTCCCATGATTCCGGACTCTTGTAGCTATTTCTACAAGCTACTAACAGCCATGGGCAAGAATGCTGCTAGATATTCTAAGCCTTCGACATGGGTAGCGGGCGACGGATGGAGTGTCGCTAATACTCACAGGTCGCCAGCGATGCCGGGAAAGGACGAATTGGATCCATGCTACATTCTGTCCAAGCCGTGCATGTTTTTGAATTCGTGGTGTGACCGACGTCTTGGCTGCAGATATGGACGGGCAGCTGTTCAGCTTCGTCTCGCTCAGCTGATGTCGAGGGCAGCCGAACCTCAATCACAATCATCATCATCACGACCACGATCCAACAGCGTATCAAACTCCCATTCAATACTCCTAACAGCCCTCAAAGTCCTCCCTCCTCCACACAACCAAATCTTTAACATCTTCCAGCTTTCGATACACAAGTTTGACCTCCTTCAAATTCTCCATTTCCGAAATCACAGCTCTTAACCCGTCAAGCAGATTAGATGAGTAACTCGCACGGAAATTTGTATACACATCCGTAAAGTTCCAAAGATCCCTCTCATCAAAAACCCAATCATCGCAGTCAGAAAGAATGCTAGGCCGTGCAAGGACGATATGAAGTTTCTGAAGACGTGGCGGGATCGCGAGCTGTAGTTCTATCATCTCCTCGGGATCGTGGACAAGGATTGCAAGTTCCGGGAGCTTCAATAAGCGGTTTTGAAGTTCTTTCAGAGCTCTGGAAGGGAGGAGGAGCAGATTTTGAGAGTAGAAGATTGGGGTCGCTTCGTTGTAGATGGTATGGCATGTGGCGACTAGGTTTAGAGCAGATTGAGCGGGTGTCCAGTGCGCTTAGGAGTGCTTTCGCAGGCATAGGACGGCGAGTTCGGAATTTATCTTGACGGGTGAGACGGCTAGGGCAAGTTCGTAGATTTGGTTGCGGAGTTCTGGTGGTAAGGTGAAGAAGAGACATTGCTCTTATGTGGCTACAGGTGGCGACGTTTGGCTTGCTGAGAATGTCGACATTGGTCAAAGCTTCAAGGATAGGTATGGGCTGAAGTTGATGTTGAAAATTTTAAATTGAGAAGGTGTTTGAGTTGAGCTATCTAATGGCTGAGTTATGCCGCAGCCTTTAACATACATGCAGAGGAACAGCCAAGACTTGCCCTCCGGTTTTCTCGTTCTATAAGCAGTAGCCTTTGTATTCTGCAATTCATTCGCTTGATTGGATCGCCTCGCTTTGGCTCCGATTTTCGTTTCGCGCACCGAGCAGGCCTCGAAGTTCGGCCTGTAATTCTGATATGCATTGTTTGACCACCCTCCGGTCAACTCCACCGATAACCGTATCGTCCACACGCAGGGTGATGTGCTCCAGCTTTGGTAGTACTTCGATCCAGCTTTTGCAAAGTTCTCTCATCTGAGAGGTGTCCTCAGCAGTGCTCACCACACTACCAGGCTTGAACATGTTCAATGCCTTGGGTCCACGAAAGCCAATTGCCAATTCCTTGAGATTTGGCAGCCTTGCCAGGTCAGAAGACGACAGCAATGCACCTGTGACAATGATTTGTATCTCAGCGATGTGATGCAAGCGCGCGCTCGAGGTGGTCCAAAGGAAGTCTCGAAACTTGATGTTGACGGGCTTCGGATCTCTCGAGAAGGTTGATGGTGTGATGGTGAGATCGTCGTGGAACGTAAAGTCGTGGTTACCATAAAAAATTCCGGACGCTTCGTGACTGATAGCACGGCATGTCTGGAGGATCGCGAGACAACTTGCTGGGTGCGGGTGTCGTGAGAGATGGAGACACCGGGAGCGCTTGAGTGTTGCTCTCTTCGCTCTCACGTTGTCCGGAAGCAGTTCAACGGCACAATCGAAGTCCTTGGCTTTCTGCTCGCATAGAACCAGCGCGTAGATCATGTTCCGTATTTCGGGCGGCAGCTTGGAAAATGTGCCTGCCTCCTGGACATCGTCTAATTTGCGATTCATGATCGTCAAAGCAGAGTCTGTAGTGACTCTAAAGGCTTCGCTATGATGCTGAAAGATTTTCGGGTTGGATGTTGTAGAGGGCCTCGAGATGTCGTGGATCAGTGCAAGAATCGTAAAAGATATACAAAAAACTTCCCTAGGACCCACCCATTCGAAAGTCAAAGACTGAGGACAAGGAACAAATGCTGACCTACGCGGCCGCGTGAGGACAGCACTTGTTTCTGAGTCGACCTTCCACGTTGCATTAGCTAGTAAGCAGTCCAATTACTGCGCCTGCGTAACCTCTGGTAATTCTTATTGCAATTTCTGTTTTCCTCGAACTGGATGGAACCCAAAATACGGCACAGGGCCTGAAAAAGCAAAGTCGTTCATTCATCTATGCATATTCCACACGCATGCGATCATCACTGTCATGGTATCTAGAGGCTGTGGGACGCCGCATCAATCTAGCCGTACTTCTTATCGCCGACGTTCGATCCACCAGGCTGTCCGAACTCTTGATACTTGGGCGGAGCGCTTGAGCCAAATCCATCAGGATCATAAGAGCCCTGTTGTGGCTGATATCCACCTGGTAGGCCCCCAGATGCACTGGGACCTTGATTTTGCTTCTCTTGCATCTTCTTAATGTCTTGTTCCGAGAGGTCTCCTCCATCACCTTCGCCGACGACGACCTCGCCACCGCCGCGAACTTTTCCAATAACCATTCCTTTTGCAACTGACTTGATCACAGCACGTCTTGAGACACCAGTGACATCGATGTATACGAGTCCAACATTCTTAACACCGCCTGCGAGAGACCCTGCGATTGAACCGGCTTGCTCTCCGTATCTGTGACCGACCATGTGACTCGCCGCAGCGCCACTTGTGTTCAACAGTGTCTTACCGCCTTCTGCGATGCCGTCCATAACAGTGCTGAATGCGATCATGCTCTTGTTCAGAAAGCCCGGCTTGTAGTCGTTCTTGTCGAGAGGATTACCTTTCTCGTCATAGCCCTTGTGCGGTCTATCCTTCTTATGTCCCGATGCTCTTGCTGCAAAATTCTGCACATGGTCGCCGAGCGTACCAATAGTCTTATTTGACGTCTGCGCTACAGACTGTGTGAATGTCGAGACTTTGCGTACTCGCTGATGGGTCGCAGGCTGGAATTCCAGAGGCTTAGCGACGGGCTTGGTTTTTTGCGAGAAGTTCTCAGCGCCCTTGGTCATCATATTACCGAGGAACGAAGAGCTTGTAACGATTAAGCGGGAGGCTGTAGCCGCGTTCTGCACAATGGAGCTGTCCTTGTAGGCAGGATGGCGTGCCATGCGCAGATATTCTTCCGAGATAGGTCGGACTTCGATAAGCTTGCCGTCCTGGCTTATTTGTACCTCAACTGGCTCTTTGGAGCCCGGTTGCAGCTTGGAATCCTCGATGACCTGGGCGTCGCCTGCAACCTCGCCGACCACCGAGCCATTATCCTCGTCGATCAGGACAATCTCGCCATGCTTCCTGCCCGACTTCTCATCGACGGCGTATTTGCCGCCGGGAGCATAGTCGGATGGATTGTACACTCCACTGCCTTTCTCATTCGGTAGTAGCGGCTTTGCTCGCTCTAGAAAAGCAGTGCATTGCGCAAGGATAGTCTCGAAGGTGTCCACATCATCTTGCGTAACGCCGTAGCCAATCTTTGGGAACTCGATGCGCGTGAAGGCACCCGCTCTAGGGCCCATGTCCCATCTTGGAATCAAGTAACTCGTTGGTGGTTGATGGTAGACTTGCGTAGTGGCTGGAAGAGGGAGATCGAGCTCTGGCGGAAGATTGAGGTGGAGGTAGAAGTCCTGGTCTACTTCGTTCTGGCCCACTGTCGTACTCAATTCTGCGAACGGAGAATTACAAGGCACCATCAGAAGCGAGAGTGTTTGAGGGCCAGATGGACAGAGGTCTTGTTCTTGGCCATCCTGGATGTGGTATGCCTTGATGCCTTTGATTGCGTAGAGCAGTTTGGGGTCGTGGTGGCCAGCCATTGTGCTGTATCACGCTCTTTCGATGTGTGGCTCGGCGCTTAGGAGAGATTGGCGGGGATCAAGGAGTTCGCAGGTGTCGTGTCGCTGAAGTGCTGTAGGTATATCAGGTCTCAAACAACAAAAAGATGGAGGGGCTCATGCAAGCTGCAGATACGTCACTGCATTGAGGCTGAGTTGTCCTTGGCGGGCGAGAAGCGCGCCTATCGAGCTGCAGAGGCTTGATGAGACATGGGAGACGTGGTCGTCGTCGTTTTCGCCACGAGCCCGTGTCTGCTACGCCACAGACGATGCTTTCGATACGATATGTATCATAGCATTGTATGTTCATGTGAGGCGGAGCGTTACTCACTCGCTGCGATCGCAAGCGGAATCTGCCGACAAGAACCGTGGGCCCGTGCTGAACTCTCCTCCATCCTCTTTGAAAATCTCCCGCAGACCCTCCGGAAGTACTCCACCTCACTGCTGTCTACACCATAGTAACATTGTCACCAGTACAGTACATATCTCTACCAGCTTTTCAGGAACATCGTCACCTTTTGCAACCCATCCATGCCATCTATGCAATGCTTCTAGCACCGGGACAAGGCAGAGCGAGATCCAGACAGCGCAAGAAAGGCGCGACTTGAAAGACGAGATACCGATCAGTAGACAAGAAAGGGAGCAGTAGTCGGTGCCCAGGGAACACAGATTCAACAAGCGCGAGCCACTCTGCCGTAAAGCGAAGGCCGTGGACGCCGGAGCGGGCTCTCACAAGCCATGAGACTTGTTGCAATCTTCCAACCATTGAAGCGTCCTTTCCGCTATCTGCGACGCCTCTTGCCGCCCCTCAACTTCATTACCATCCACTATGCCTACTTCATTCTCACATGTCTCATCAGCGCGATCATCTTGTGGGCCGCCGACACCGATCGCGATCTCCGCTTTATCGATGCTTTATTTCTAGCGGTGAGCGCCATGACATTGGCTGGGCTAAATACGGTCAATTTGTCAACTCTGAACACGTTCCAGCAGTTCTGGCTGTTTCTCCTGATCATTATCGGGTCTGCGGTACTAGTTTCAGCTTTCGTGGTCCAGATACGCAAGCGAGCCTTTGAGACGAAGTTCAAAGACGTGGTCTTGAAAGAGCGGCAGAGACGAATGGAGCGACGCAGCAGAAGCAGGTCAAGAGCAGGGAGCCGACGAGGACAGCCAGACGCTCAAGATCATCAGGATCTTGTTCAGCCTGTTGACACTGCTCAAGATGCCTCAGCAGACATGGGCGACGCGGAGAAGGCCTCCAAATCGGAGATTTCTGTGGAGGGACCGGCTATATTGGAAAGTCCGATTTCAATGAAAGAGCCCACTTCAAGGGAAGGGCCCACCGCAAGTGAAGAGCCCGCTACAAGGATAGGACCAACTTCGCCTAAGTCGAATATTTCTTTCAGACCGGACACTGTTTTCTCGCACCGATTGACTCACCAGGCCGCCAGACAGCGGACCCGCGGGCTCTGGAGCGCTCAAGGAGTCGGAGCGCGTCCTACCGCTGGCATAGAGATACGGTCCCTTTCACAAGACGGTCCAAGGAGTGATCAGGATCATAGTACTGCAGCGCCTCCCAAGAATCATGGCAATATTGGTCGCTACTTCCATTCGACAAGCGGCTGGATTGGTAGAAACAGCGAGTTCCATGGTCTTACTGATAAGGAACGTCAGCACTTGGGAGGCTACGAGTACCGAGCGGTCTGCTTTCTTGCTTGGTTAGTACCTATCTACCTTGTTTTGATGCAGCTCCTGGGCTGCCTCGGATGTGCTGCTTGGATAGCGCGTAATCGACCAGAGACAACAACTGCAAACGGCTTGAACCCCTGGTGGGTAGGCGCGTTCAACGCGGTTTCCGCATTCAACAATAGCGGTATGAGTCTTCTGGATGCGAACATGACCGCATTTCAGACAGGGTACTATCTGCTGATAACCATGGGCTTCCTCATTCTTGCCGGGAACACATGCTACCCGATCTTCCTTCGACTGATCATCTGGACAATCTACAAAGTCGTGCAGCGACTGGCACCACGATCCGAAGAGTGGGCTGATCGAGCGAAGATGCTGAAATTCCTGCTGGATCACCCGCGTCGATGCTATACGAACCTGTTTCCTTCCCGGCATACATGGTGAGTGGACGACTCCGAGCGAATGTGTGCGACTAAGGCGACCTTGTCGCAGATAGCAGCACTATCTCGTCGGCGGACTTCGGAGCGCATAATCACGCAACATCACTGACCCTTGCTTTCAGGTGGCTCCTCGCCTCGGTCGTGGCGCTAAATCTGATCGACTGGATCGGCTTTGAGGTTATCAATATTGGAAACAAAGCTATCGAGCAATTACCTTTGGGCGTACTAGTTATCGACGGCCTCTTTCAGGCGTTTGCTGTTCGAAGTGGTGGATTCTACGTCGTGGCCATCAGTCAGGGTGAGTGGCGCAGTGCACCAGTCCTTTTTGACGCCGAAGCCTAACTCAAATCAGTCCGTATCGGCCTGCAGGTCCTATATGTTGTGATGATGTACATCTCAGTGTACCCGGTCGTCATTACAATGCGCAACAGCAACGTCTATGAAGAGCGAAGTCTCGGTAGGTCACAATCTATCACTCGAGCATTCAGGCACTGCTGTGCTCGCCACGTTCCAAACAGCTCTAAAATTCTTGCAGCGACCAAGTCGTACTGATTGAGATCATGCAGGCATTTACGCCGAAGACCTACCCGAAAATGATGGACGAGCCAATGACCAACCCGGGTTCCTCAGGCAGCTCACTCAACATTTCGTCTCAGGCGGAGCGTCCAACTCGGAATCCAATTCCAGCTTCGTACGCCAGCAACTTCGAGCGCAGTTGGCCCACGACGCTTGGACTATCTTTCTTGCACTGTTTGCTATCATCATCATCGAGACTGCCCAATTCGATCGAGACCCGAATGTTTTCTCAGTCTTCAACTTCCTGTTCGAAATCGTGTCTGGATATGGATGCGTCGGCATTTCCCAGGGCATTCCGTGGGATGCATATTCCTTCTGTGGAACCTGGCATACTGCAAGCAAGTTGATTCTGTGCGGAGTTATGCTTCGGGGAAGGCATCGAGGGTTGCCGGTTGCAATCGATAGAGCTGTGTTGCTTCCCGGCGAGGAAATTGAGCAGGCTGAAGAAGACGATGGACGCATCCGGCTGCAGAGAACGATTAGTCGGGGAAGATCAACTTTGCAGCAGCAGGACGTTTAGCAGGTCAAGATTAGAAGCGATGGTCTCAAGGCTACACATCCGATGTAGCGTATGGGGTGTGTTTGACGACCTGGTTCTATGCTCAGCTCGCTTAGGAAGATCAATTGACACCTTCTCTTATCGTACATAGCCGAGCACAATACCGTATTCAAGATGACCGGTCAAGACAATCACGTGGCTTATTGTAGGCGGAGGCAACTGTGGTTTGGCGCTGGCAACAGGGCTCAAGAAAGTAAGTCGTGTATGCTATCGTATACATGTGTCGGTGACTAATCCAATAAGCAGCATGGAATTAAATACATGAAAAGAGGTCTACGTCGACCCATCGATCGATGCCGCCAATGAGCCAATCCCTTATTTCGATTCCTCCACAGGAGAAATCCTCAGACGCAAGCATTCCAAAAGTCCAACGCATACCTTGAGAGCACCGGCTGATAGACCTATCGTCTCTGCACCGGAACTCCACCATCTTCTTCTTGCACATCACTCATCATATCGCTCGACTCAAACCCACTTTCCTCCCTATACGCCATACCAATCGCATACTTCACCGGGCTTCCAAACGTCACATCAAATTCCTCATTCTCAGGCTGAGATCCATTCAACCCCTCCTGCAAATATTGCGCCATGGCCGGCTGCCCCTGTGGTTCCAAATTTCTAACCCCTTCATACAACTCGTCCAAAGAAATTCTGTTCTCGGGATTCGTCTCGATACAGCGCGAGATCAGATTTGCGAGGTTGGGGCTACGCGGCACGGCGTCGTTGATCATATCCCACTGCGATTCATCCGGAACGAGGAATTTTTGCTCGGCTCGGTGGAGGATCCAGTTGTGATACATCTGGTACATGACAACGCCGATGGCTGGGGACGTGTTAGTTTGAACATTGATCAGACTGACTGCTCGCGGCAAGACGTTCGTTCGACTCACAGTATACATTGGTCCACTCCCAAAGTCGAGGTTCTGCAAGTGCTACGTTGGGACTTCCGCTCAGGTCGATTCGCTGTTTCTTGTTGAACTGTTCGGGAGAGGCGAAAGGCTTGGAGCCTGCGCCTTTATTGTAATTTGAAGGATTGTTGGGATCGCCTTCGAAGGTTTCAATTGCGAGGCCGAAATCAGCCTGTGAAAGTCAGCGGGAAGAGATCAAAGAATACCATGGCCAGGCTACCTAACATACCAGTTTCAGAGTGGGATATGCTGGGAAACGTTCGCCGGGCGGGTCCATGAAAATGTTTCCAGGCTTAATGTCCCGGTGGATCACATGGGACCAGTTGGGCACGAGTCCTTGGCCTGGGGATCCATCTCGCATAATGATGCATGCTTCTACCAATTGCAAGAATGTAGCCCACAAGAACTGCAGCACAGGAATCGTCAGTGGTCAGTGCTTATTGAAGATGCAGACCGCTTTGGTGCACTCACAGGTTCCGGAAGAGGCGTATCTGATGTGACGCTCTTGACGATCATGCCCTTTAAATCTCCATTTGCACAAAATGGCGAGTATAGAGTCAAGATGTATTTGACTCTATCGAGATGCCATGAGCCTACGCGGGCAAAGTGACGATTCGACACAGCCGCACATTTGTTTGCGAAATAGGCCTCCAGAGGTGTTCCGTTAAGGGTATCTCGTTGATAGAACTTCTTGGGCCACGCAGAGGCGGTTAACACTTCACATTTGCGAACGATATGCTTCGTGTAACGATCAGTTCAAACGCCGGATTACGATGATAGTCTGATTGGAGGGGACTTACATTGACTATAGTATCATTCTCGTCAACTTTCACCCATAGACCAGCCAGATTTGCGCCATCACCTATACCCATGATAGACCATGGTTAGCAAATGTCTTTTAGATGTTCCAGAAAAGGTATCATCATCGAAAATCCTCACCAAATTCCATAGCGCCGCGCCATTGGCCATTTAGCCTGTCATCCAGAAAGGTCTCTTCAAGATCTGCTCTGGTCTTGGCCTTTGCCAGCACCTCTGAGAGGGTCTTGATATTCTGCCTGTCACCTTCCAAATTTGATTTCCAAACATTAATCCGCTCTTCCAGGAAATTCAGTGATCGATACCCATCGCTGAAATTATGTCGGCGTTCTTCCTCGAGCATCGATGTCAGTGCGACAAGGTATTGCTCTATGACGCCATTTGCAGCGAGTATCAAAGTCTTGTAGCTCTCTAGTAAGTCGATGTCGGGCCTAGATTTATTCAATTCTCCAGCACCTGCATGGGCCCCTACCGCAGAAGCCTTTGCCCGACATTCCTTTTCTACTGTGTCAATAGATTGGATCAAATTCACGAGGGTGTCCTGGGCGGCTCGATTGAGCCTATGGAACTCGCGATAGAGCGCTTTTTCGATTCGTTTGCGATCTGTTCGTGGCCATCAGCTTTGGATCTACTGTGATGTATCTGATAAGCTTACAATCATCTTCTACTCCAGGCTCGACCCCCCGAGCCAGGAGCGCATACTGCAGGTAGACTTTCCAGCCCGGATGTTTTCGAGCCATGCGGAAGATCTTACGCATGGTGTGGAACGAGGAAGTATTCTTACCTTAGACGGTGAGTTGACTTTCGGAATGGACTATTAGTTCTATTGCCAAATCCGGAATGTTGTTCTTTGTCATGCTGTTCATCCCGATGGCACAATGACCACATGTTCCAACGAGGTGGACAAAGACATCGATCGAGCATATCCTGCTGCCTCATTGGGCCTAAGCCTTCGGACAGGTCGTACATTGGCAATGGCTAGTGCGACGAGACCCAGGCCTCGGTATATTTCTTCGCCTCGAATACCCAGATGGTCTTATTGCAGATTTGTCGAAGCACACATGCATAGAGTAGTCTGAGGTAGCTGAGCTTCCAGGAGCAAGCATATCCACTCGTTTGCAGTGCATGATTCTCTATGTTGGCGAGCGGTCACCGTCGGAGTTCAGAGTCGATGTAGGCCAGCAGGGAACATATGTGCGACGGAAAATGCAGAGCAGTGCATGAACGCGTAATATAGCTTAGTTCCCGCCTACACAAATCGTCTCCATCGATGTTATTTACTGCCTGAACCCTGGACTTTTGCTCTTCTCTTGGTATCTCGTATTCCTCTTCCGCTCTTTAATGGAAATGACTTTGCAGGCCAGCACGATGCAACGGCTTAACCAGGGCTTCCAGCAACTCTAGAAGGCGCAGAGGGTCTCGGACGCGATCAGAGAAGGATTGCTTTCGTGCGCGGCGGTCGGACGGTCTATTGAAATGGCGGCGGTGGAGTCGAGGCCCGGGTGCAGACTGCAGAGGCGTAGTGTAAGGACTTAAGAGTCGGTGGACGAAGGACCTCACTCTCCTCTACCTACCACTTCCACTTCCACCACCTCCACCACCTCCACCACCTCCACTTCGCAGCCAATGACCATTATCTGACTTCACAGTGTTGATGTTCATCATCGGCGGCGTGGAGTCTTGGGGATGCCGTGAGCCATATTCTAATGCACCCCGGTCATAATTCCGCCCTGCCCTGCCTGAGGCGACGGCACTCCATACCACCGCCCTTTCCGGTCGTAGCACTGCAGATGCTGATAAGTACACGGAGACTTCGCCGTATACTTAGAATATATTACGCTATTCAATAAGTCGCGCTATAAGCTCGGAGGACCGCAGATTAGCTTTAACTAGATTTGACTATAATTAGTTAGCAATTGCTTAGGATCTTAGCTTCTTAGCTATTCTTATCTCCTCTTCTATAGTAATACTATATACTACAATCTCGTCGTCGCCGTTTTAATAGTATAGACCCTTCGGAGGTGTTATTAATAGCGCGCCTACTAGACTATTAACTTAATAAGATTAAGCGCCTATTCGACGAGAGCGAGTTATCTAATAATACTATCTCCGAGCTCTTAAATGTCGCTAGACGTAGTATCGACAAGATCTATAACAATTATCGCTTATTTAGTATATTCTATATTAAAGATCTCGCTAGGTTAGGCCGTCTACGGTCGCTATTGCCTATCTTTAAAGATATAAGTCTTGCGGCGTATCTAGCGCGTTTAGTCGCAATTTAACTAATCTATCTCTTCCTAGTAGCGTATCTTCGAGTATCTCGACGACCGACTATATACCTATTAAGACGAGGTAGTATAGTACTTATACGACGAATACGACGTTATTATAAGCTAGCCGATAGTATCGCGAGTTTTAGAGAGACGTAGATAGACGAGGAAGAAAGCGATATAATATACGGCGGAATAGAACTAGGACTTTCGAGACGACTTTAAGATAAAGTAGATAGTAATACCGGCTTATAGAGTCGTATATATCGATAAAAGCGCTTCGAATAAGCGTACTAGTTAGCGGAAGTGTAGATGCGGTCCTATTAACCGTCCTATATTCGAGGAGGGGTTAGTAGTTAGGTTAAAGCGATAGAGTATCTTGCCTACTATCTCGATTAATGGTTGTCTTGCTAGTACGATAATCTGCTAAGGCTCTATTGCTATAGAGATATTCGAAGCCTAGTTATAGTATATAGTACTGCCTTAAATAGAGCCTAGAATATTCCTTATAATAGATAACGCGTTAATCTACCGTACCGAGCGTATAAAAGAGATAGTCGTAGCCGCTAGAGTCTATCTTCGATACCTGCCTCCGTACTTACTAGACTTTAATCCTATTAAGTTGTCGTTTAACGTACTTAAAGCGTAGGTTAAGAAGTATATTAATAAGGCTAATTGCTTTTGTAAGAAGGGTATGTTAGTAGGTAGATAGGGTAGTAGTAGGTATAGGTAGTATTCGATAAGAAGCTAGGAGGAGAGGGAGGAAGGCAGGCAAGTTAGCCTATTACTAAGCGCTAAGCCCTGCCTAAGGCACTAAGACCCTGGCTTTACTTAGCCTAGTTATATGCTAATTACGTATAGCCTCTTTAGCCCTAACATACGCTTCCCTTCTAAAGGCCGCGCCCTTATAGCCGGTCTTTATTCTAGTCTCAACCTCTATTACTACTAACTTAGTAGGTCTAATAAGCCGCTTAGTCCGCGTTAAATTAAACGTACAACTACCGATTATATAACTATGTCAAACCTTACCTTCTAATACAATGTCTAACTCTAACTACGCTATCCTTATATACAATAAAGTAATATATAACTACAAGAATTAAGGACTATCGACTAATTATAATACGAGCGTACCTTCCCTACTATAATAGGTAGGTATACGGGGTATTATAGCACTGCCCCCGTTCTAAGTAATATCGTACCGAGTTCTTTGCGTCTACTCTAAAAGACCTAGCTATATCCGCTTCCGAGGGTTGTCCGCTTCCGAGGGTTTATTCTTGTTATTATAAGGGCTATTATTGTTCGTAGTTTCGCTAGCCCTAATTAGTTAGGTTTAGCAGCCTTTAATTGTTAATCTTATCTTATCTTTTTAGAAAAAATACAGCTCGTCTAGTTTCTATAAGTAAAGGCTATTATAAGTATAGTAGTAGAGGTTCGCCTTGCTTAAAGGGTTAGATAGATCGAGGAGTAACCTATTGTCTGCAAGATCGACCCCGGCTAGCTTAGCTCTATAGTTTTGCCCTTAGTTAGTCTATTAGTCGCTTAATCTTTTAGGCGGCTTAAGGTTTTAACTTAGCTTTAAAGTTTTAATTAAACCTTTAATAGGCTTAAAGCTTTAATTAAAGTTTTAATTAAAGGTACCTTAGGCTCGTAGTATAGGTAAGGTTGTCTTCGTAAGTATAGCGATAATAGTAAGTAATGTTAATAATAGCGGCGCTAGTCGTCTTAGCGCTAACTTTACCTCGCTTCTAATCTCCTTCTTCTACTAATAATACACTCCGCAATACTGTTACTAACATAGCCGCGCCGGCCGTACTGCCCTTTAGTATAGGCGAGACGCCGTCGTTATTATTATTATTACTATTCCACGCGCACACGCGCCGCCCTCGCCGATCGCCTAGGCCTCGAAGCCTCGATAGAAGGAAGGAATAAGAGGTAGAATCCTTAAAAGAGCAGGCAATTAGTTAACGCGTCGTAGTGCGCCTAGTATAGTCTTATTATCCTTTATTGCTAACAATTGCTTGCCTCTAATTAGTTAGCTAATAGCACCCTAGGGGTAGTATTATTCCTAGGCTTAGTAGTAACATTATAGGTATTATAAGCTCTTAGCCTTCTTTGTGTTCTTTACGCTAGTCTAATACTTATCTAATAACTTAGTTATATCCTTAAACGAGTCTTTAGCCTCCTATAAGTCCTATTCTAGTAAATAGCCCTACTATCTTAGCAGATACTCCTTCTTGCCTTGCCTAGTCCGGTGCTTTAGGATACGTTCTATAGACTATAGCTCTTTACTATTAGCTAAGACTTCTTCTAACTTAGTAGGCGCTTTATCGCCTTCGCGCTAGTAGTATAGTTTAAGGAGGGATACGTAGAAGGTGTTATAGATAGTATAATAAGGTAGAAGCTATAACTAATAGGCCTATACGGAGGAGCCCTTAACTTCTCGAATGCGGAATAGGCTAATGTATCTTAGTACGAGCTTGGGCCTTATTTTGCCGTTAGGTAATAGGTGTTTACGGATGCGGAGGTTCTTCGTACTTAGCATAACTATATCGCCTTGCTTAAAGGTTATTAGCGTATAGTGTTTGTTATAGTAGGCCTTCTAATAGGCCTAGGCCTTTGCTAGTTTATTAGCTATCTTAGCGTAAATTTCTCGTATCTTTTAAACCCTCTTAATAGCTGCTAGTGTCTCTAGTACTTAACGCGCTTCCCTTTCCTTACGCTTAGCCTCGAGCGATAGTAGGTCTTATAGTATAGCAGCATTCTGGCCTATTATAGCTATGTATAGTAACACCTTAGTCGATAAGTAGACACTGTTATTGTATACGAATTCAGCTAGTTGTAGGAGGTTAACCTATTCGTTAGGGTTCTCGTTAATGTAACTACGTAGGTACTGCTATAGGGTAGCATTCTACCTCTCTGTTTAACCGTTAGTCTATAGATAGAAGGCTATTAATAGCCGATGCTTTAGTCTTAGCTACAAGCAAATCTCGCTCTAATAGTAAAATGTTAGTATCGATCTACGATCGGACACGATCCCCTTAGGGGTTCCCTAATAGGTACAGAAGATATTAGTCTATAGCGCCTCTACTATATTAATAGTAGTCTAATCCTTGCGCGCCGGGATGTATCGAGCGCCTTTAGTAAATCGATCTACTATAACAAGGATAGCATTATATATATCCTTGCTACCCCTACGCTTAGTAGGAGGAAGGCCTATAATAAAGTCTATTATAAGCTTAGCAAACGGCTTCCTAGGAACAGGAAGTAAAGACAACTCGCTAAATAGTAAGTGCTTTAGTACTTTAACTCGCTAGTATACTATATAGGTCTATATATACTCCTTTATATGCCGTTTACTATTTAGCTAGTAGTATATGCGCGATAGTAACTCGTGCGACCTCTCTATGCTATAGTAACTAGCGAGTTTACTATTATAGTGCCTCTTTAAGAGCTCTTATCTAATTAATTGTTTAGCGGGGACATAGTATCTGTCCTTAAACTTTAAGTAACCTTTGTCGTCGATCGACTAATTGTTATTACTCTTGCTAGATCGAGTCGTTCGCCTACTTACAAGCTTATTAATACGTTCGATAGTAAAGGCGTCCCTCTACTAAGCCCGTAATAGCTTATCTATAAACGATTAACTATCCCTATTTATAAGGTTATTTAATAGTACCCTCGCTATTAAACGAGGTACGCATTGTATATATCTAATAGCACTAGCAGCCGGAACTACTACAACCTCTTCTATAGTACTATCGCTATATAGGCTATTACTATAGATAGTAATGTCTTTAATCGAGTTATTATAGCTCGAGCGATCTACGTCCTTTCTAACGTATACTAGAAGAACGACAACTCCGCTATAGTATTTGTTGCCGCCGCGGGGTCTAGAAGTCCGCTTATCCTACGCTTGCTTATTAATAACACGGGCTATAGCAATCTTATACTACAGGGTTAGAAATAAAGAATTAATGTATTAGGTCTCGCTATCGTAATTAGGTCGCCTCGATAGGCTATCGGTAGGGTTACTTACGCCTAGCCGGTATAATATATTAAAATCAAACCCGGCGAGGTAGACGGCCTATCTAGCCTATCGACCTATAACCCTAGTAACCTTAGTAATACTACGGAGGTTGTTATAGTCTATATAGACCTATATTATATATTAAGTAGACCCCGTAGTAGTTCGGTTTGCGAACTACAAAACGTATATAGTTTAGTTTCTTAGCGGTACCCCTCCGGTTTAGTTCTGGTTTGGTTTTTTACCCCGCTAGTCTAAGCCGGTTTCCGAGAAAATCCGACTAAACTGCGACGATATGCGACGACATGCGACGACCTCGGATCGGGTCCGGAGGCCCTCGGAGGCCCTATATTGTCTACGCTATACAATTGCATCTGTGTTTCGGGCTATTTGGACGTGTTTTGGGTCGGGGTTTTGTCCGTAGCCGGCACGTAGCCGGCAAACCGGTCCGTGCACCGGTTCCTTAGCAAACTAAACTAAACTAAACTAGAATTTCGGCTTAGCAAACCAAACCAAACTAACCCGAACCACTGCGGGGTCTAATATTAAGCCCTATCGAGGTAGTGCCTCTAATGCTTAAAGGCTTCGACAATAGCTAGGAGCTCTTACTCGTAGGTCTCGTAGCGACGTTTAGTATTAATTATCTTCCTCGAGAAGAAGGCAATCGGGTACTAGTAGATATTATTAGCCTGCTATAATATAATAGCTAATATAGCGAACTATAAAGCGTTAGTCTCAATTCGGATCTGTTTACTTAGTACGAAATAGTATAACAAGGGGACTTTAGTAAAGCGTTGTTTTAGACCGTTAAAAGCGGCTTGTGTTTTGTTAGTCTATTTAAACTCTCTAGACGGATTAGCCTTAGTTTTAGTAAGCTTAGTTAGGGGCATTATATGCCGTAAATAGCCCTTAATAAAGCGACGATAGAAATTAGCGAAGCCGAGGAACGACTATAGTTCCTTAATTGACGTAGGAACAGGCTATTTAGTAATGGTTTTAATCCGATTAGGATTAGCCTTAACACCCTTAGTTAATACGAGGAAGCTAAGGAATAACACCTCCTTAGTAGTAAAGGTACATTTAGAAGGTTTGCAATATAGTCTATAGGCTCGTAGGCGGTCGAGGACCTTACGTACTACGGCCTAGTGTTCTATAATATTAGGTAAATAGGTGTAAACTAGGATGTTATCTAGGTAAACTATATAGAGATAGTCTAATAGGCCTAAAAGGGCTCGATTAATATAGGACTAGAATATTGTAGAGGCATTAGCTAGGCCAAATAGTATAACTAAGTATTCGAAATAGCTATAGCGAGTATAGAAGGCTGTTTTCTATTCGTTACCCTTACGAATGCGGATACGATAGTACGCATCCTTAATGTCTAGTATAGTATAGTAGTAAGCCCTAGAAAGGCGATCGAGGGTCTTATTAATAAGGGGGAGTAGATAGCGGTCTTTAATAGTAATAGCATTAAGCCCGCGATAGTCGATATATAGGCGTAGGCTACTATCCTTCTTTAGTACGAATAGGATAGGTGCACTAGCAGGGCTATTACTATACCGAATTCGACTATTAGCTAGGTTTTCCTCTAGGTACTTACGCAATATAGTAAGCTCTCGCTTACTAAGGTTATAGAGGGGACTAAAAGGAACCTCTTTGCCCTCTATAATATTAATCTTATAATCCGTCTCTTTAAACATAGGCAATGTCGATGCTAGGTAGTATTTAAACACATTAATATAGGTCTCTCGGATAGGTTCTAGTATACGAGTAAGCTAATTAGGATTATTAGGGGGCATAGGTTTATCGTTATTACTACCGAGTAGATCGGCAGTCGGATTAGCTAAGGCGGAGGCTAGTGTTAGGTTGCTAATAAATAGGACCCTAATATCGTTAGGGCACTCGCTAATATTAATGTGTTTAATGTCCTCTTTCCTAGCGATTCTAAATCGCTATTATTAACTGCCTAAGTCTATTACTATAGCATAGTACTTAAGAATAGGGTTGCTAATAACAATGTCGGATAGGAGGCTGTCTATGTCTACTGCGTAGGCAGTAAAGTTTAGTAGGCGTTTATTTCCGAGGTCGTCTTTTAGAACTATAGGAACATAGTAGGCCCTATAGGTTAAGTGCCGAGCGTTATTAAACCAAGCAAGGACTAGTATATTAGTCCTAGGCAATTGTCGGAGGTCTAATTGCTTAGCTAAGCGATAGTTAATAAGGGCGCTAACTGAATTTCCGGGGTCTAGTATAACCTTTGCCTTATAGTTAGTATCGGGCCTAGATATAAGACAGGTACGTATAATAGCTAGCACAATGTCGATAGTCTTACGCCGTATAAGGCTAACAGTTAGTGCGGCGCTTACTCTTTTTTCGAAGGTTAGCCTATAGAGGTAGCGTTAGCCGCTAAGAGATACTTTCGGTGTTTAGCGGAAGTACGGTTAATTCGGGCCTAGTCCTTAGGTTTGTCGTATTAGCCTAGTAGATAGCTAGTACTATTACAATTAAAGCACTTTAATCCGGTTAGTAGACTGCCGTAGCTGTTGTTGTTAGTTAAGCGGTTAGCGTTATAAGGATACGAGCCCTATCTACGGCCCCTATCGCGGCCTCCTCTATATAGTCGCCGGCTACGGCCCCTTCTACGGTCGTTGTTACTATTCCTACTGTTAGCATTGTTGTCTTAGTAGGAACCTTAGTTTCCTCCGCGGCTACTACGATTGCCGCGGTTAGTACTAGCTAGTCGGATCCTTAATTCTAGTCGTTATTAGAGCTAAATAGCCCGTTCGGCTGTTTCTACTTCGACTATAAATTAAATGCGGGTTAGATTGGTTTGTTCAAATATACGGCGACGGTCTAATTCGAGGATAAGCTCCTATCTAAGTTTTAGGCGTATCTCGGAGATCTATATAGAATTAGTCTTAGGCGGAAGGTCGTCTTTAAGGGTTTTTAAATAGGCCTCGAATAAGCGAGCCGATTAATTAGTCTTCTGTTTAGCTCGAAGATATAGGTCCTAAGTATATTATTGCCTTAGTATAGGGTTTCTAAGGGTATCTAGTATAATAGTTTTATAGGTCTGCTACTAAATAGCGGTCTAGTCGTCGAGGGAGTCGAAATAGTTATCCTATATACGCTTTAGGTCGCCGTTGATATACTGTATAGCGTATATAACTAAGGAATAATCGTCTAGTAGCGCTCTTAGTATATTGCGCTAGTTGAGCTTACAGTTACGAATATAGTCGTTATATTGCTTGCGACTAGAGCCGTTAAATATAGTATAGTCCTTAAGCTTAGTATCCTTCTTTTAGACTAGTAGTAAAGAAGGTCCTACTATAGGTTTAGCAGTAGTCGTTAGGGCTTCCTAAAGGCGACGGAGCTCGAGGAGGTTATCTCTTAGCTATTGTTCTTAGCGTAGGGTAGTAAGCCTATTTTAAGTAGCTTCTTAAAGTCTCCCTAATAGTTAAGGGCTAAAGGCTAGTTAGCTATATCGTCGATTGATAATGTTGTTAAGAATATCGCTAATAGGTAATTCCGGATTATTACCTAGAATTATAGGTTCTTCTTTAGTAGGCTCTCCGGTAGGCTCTTTAGTAGGAGGCACTTTAGTAGGTGCTCTAGTAGGCAATTTAGTAGGCACTGTGCTACTAGCGTTGTCGTTGCTAGCGCTACTAGCGGCAGCACGGTTGTTGTTGCTTCGTAATAAGCCGGCTATTATAATAGGGGGTAATACTAATAATGTATTGTTAGCCCCTAAGATGCGGATATAGCGGAATTAGTAGATATTAGTCTAGTACGATTGACTTAGTGTAATAGGCCGTATAGAAGGCCTTAATTAATAATTAGTACGGTTGCTTCGATAGAATAGTACGTATAGGTCCCGTTCTTCGGGCGTAATATAGTTAGATTAGTCTTGTTCGTAGCTATACCGCTAAAAGCTTGAAATAAGGACTATCTAGCTGCTACCCTTAAAGAGTAGATCGAATACTATATAAGAAGGGTATATTAGCAGGTAGATAGGGTAATAGTAGGTATAGGTAGTATTCGATAAGGAGCTAGGAGGAGAGGGAGGAAGGTAGGCAAGTTAGCCTATTACTAAGCGCCAAGCCCTGCCTAAGGCACTGAGACCCTAGCTTCACTTAGCCTAGTCACATACTAATTACGTATAGCCTCTTTAGCCCTAACAGCTTTATAGACTTCGGTATATTTATACGGTATACTATTAAAGAACTAGACACTTAATCTATAGCGAGATCGTAGTTCTAGCGAGTAGGTTATCGCTAGTACTATAGACACAATACTAACTATAGTTACTCCTTTATAGACTCGCTTATACTAACGACTATCTCTAGCTTAGCGATACGGCTCTTTAAGTCTTCTATCTCTTGTCTTAATTCTTCTACTATAGTACGCGTAGTATTAGTAGTATAGTCCTTTATAATTGCTTCTATATGCTATAGATTAGGCAATGCTAGCTACGGCGATAAGCTTCTTAAATTAGCTAACGACGGTAATATAGTAGACGTGTCGATATGCCCTTCTACGCCTCGTAGAGGTTAAACAGGTATAGTAACAATCTCCTTATCGTCCTAACTATCGGCAATCTACTCGAGAAATTAGCTAAATCTATCGATATACTTAATCGGCGTACCTCTAATACGCTATAGGTAGCTATTACAATAGAAGAGCCTAGAATTTAGTAGTTTCGTAATTATTTTAATCGCTAGCGGCACCTCGAGGCTATTTAAATCGGCGCCGTTAGTATATCGCTATATTCGTATCGTAATCGAGTCGCGATCGAGTCGCGATCCGGAGAGTACCCGCTTGCGAAGCCCGAATCTATAACGACTAATAGGGCATTACTATAACACTACTACAATATATCTATATTATCTCTTTAGTAGGAAATAATACTATCGATACCGCTAAACAACCTCCCGTTATCCGTTTTAAAAAATATACAGTTATCGTAAAGATATAGCGCTAGCAAGACATTAGAAGTTCGCGACTTTCTAGTACCTACTCTGCGCCGAAATAGCCGAAATTTCGGCTTCCGCTCGGCGGTTTAGCTTTACGGGTCCGGATTTAAAGAGCTAAATTTAACGACTTTAACTCGATACTAGCGCAACACTATAACGCATTGTTTTTTATTCCTATAAGTACAGAGAGCCGAGACTATATCTATCTAATGCACCTCTAATTTATACTATACAAAAACACGTAGTATTAGTAGAATAAGAAGCGACTTTAGCTAAGCCGAAGTTTAGCTGTTAAACCGCCGACCTATAACCGGAAATCTACCCTTAACCTCGCTTCTATACTAAAACAGCGCTTCTATAGCTAACGATAGAACAGGCCGTTAGAAGACTCCTTAATGCGACTAAGACGTTACTTACGGACTACTTTACGAGTATATCGCTTTACTACGTTAATAAATCGATCGTATTAGCCTTCTTTAAGTCTAGCCTTAACCTAGCGGTCTAATTTAACCCTTCTTAGCTGTTTGAGTAAGAAATCGCTATCTTCGAAGATACGTGCAATATTAGCTATATCTACGTATCGTTTACTCTAGCTACTAGTTAACTCTTTACGTAACTAGCTAAAGAAGCCTATTAATTCTATGTCCGCCGTATACGATTGATAGGAAGCGATTAAGCCTAGAATTAGACTTAATAGTAATCTAACTAGACTAGAAGCCGCTAGCGGACTAGACCTGGAAACAGCGGCTCTATAGCTCCTACTATTAGATTAAGTATAGTAATTATAGATTACAACCGGAGTTAGCGTTATTAGAGCCGTAGAGCGTCTACTAACTTGTCTAAATAGGTTAGACAACTGCCTATCTCGTTGCTTCTATAGCTTAGAAGCTAGTGCCGCTCTAGGGTCGTTAATTGTTAATCTTCTAGCTAGATTAACCTCTCGAGTGCCTTTAACCTACCTAGTAGCAATCTCCGGGTAGATCTTATAGTAATCTTCCGCTCGGTCCGGACTACTAAACTAGCACAACCTACCCTTGTTTAGACAGTATCTGTTCTTATAAGGCTACCGCTAAGTAAGGGCGTATCGTAGGTCCGTTAGTAAGCTAGTTAGATTAGTGTTGTTATCGTTAGGTGTTAGGGCTAAAGAGGCTATACGTAATTGGTATATAACTAGGCTAAGTGAAGCTAGGGTCTTAGTGCCTTAGGTAGGGCTTAGCGCTTAGCAATAGGCTAACTTGCCTACCTTCCTCCCTCTCCTCCTAGCTCCTTATCGAATACTACCTATACCTACTATTACCCTATCTACCTGCTAATAGACCCTTCTTATATAGTATTCGATCTACCCTTTAAGGGCAGTAGCTAGATAGTTCTTATTTCAAGCTTTTAGCGGTATAGCTACAAATAAGACTAATCTAACTATATTGCGCCCGAAGAACGGGACCTATACGTACTATTCTATCGAAACAACCGTACTAATCATTAAGCAAGGCCTTCTATACGGCCTATTATACTAAGTCAATCGTACTAGACCAATATCTACTAATTCCGCTATATCCGCATCTTAGGGGCTAATAATATATTATTAGTATTACCCCCTATTACAATAGCCGGCTTATTACGAAACAACAACCGTACTGCCGCTAGCAGCGCTAGCAACGACAATGCTAGTAGCACAGTACCTACTAAAGTGCCTACTAAAGCACCTACTAAAGTGCCTCCTACTAAAGAGCCTGCTACTAGAACTGCCGAAGAACCTGTAATTCTAGGTAACGACCTAGAGTTGCCTATTAACGACATTCTTAGCAATATTGTTAACCGTCGATATAGCTAACTAGCCTTTAGCCCTTAACTATTAGGGAGACTTTAAGAAGCTACTTAAAACAGGCTTACTACCCTACGTTAAGAACAATAGCTAAAGGATAATCTCCTCGAGCTCCGTCGCCTTTAGGAGGCCCCGATAGCAAAACTAATAGCGGGACCTTCTTTACTACCTATCTAAAAGAAGGATGCTAAACTTAAGGACTATATTGTATTTAACGGCTCTAGTCGAAAGCAGTACAACGACTATATTCGTAACTGTAAACTTAACTAGCGTAATGCACTAAGAGCGCTACTAGACGACTATTCCTTAGTCGTACACGCTATATAGTACATTAATAGCGACCTAAAGCGTATATAGGATAACTATTTCGACTCCCTCGACGACTAGACCGCTATTTAGTAGCAGACCTACAAAACCATTATACTAGATACCCTTAGAAACCCTATACTAAGGCAATAACATACTTAGGACCTATATCTTCGAGCTAAATAGAAGACTAATTAATCGGCTCGCTTATTTGAAGCCTATTTAAAAACCCTTAAAGACGACCTTCCGCCTAAGACTAATTCTATATAGATCTCCGAGATACGCCTAAAACTTAGATAGGAGCTTATCCTTAAATTAGACCGTCGCCGTATATTCAAGCAAGCTAATCTAATACGTATTTAATTTATAGTCGAAGTAGAAACAGCCGAACGGGCTATTTAGCTCTAATAACGAATAGAATTAAGGATCCGACTAACTAGTACTAACCGTAGCAACCGTAGCCGCGGAGGAAACTAAGGGTCCTACTAGGACAACAATACTAACAGTAGGAATAGTAACAACGACCGTAGAAGAGGCCGTAGCCGGCGGCTATATAGAGGAGGCCGCGATAGGGGCTATAGAAGGGGCTCGTATCCCTATAATGCTAACCGCTCTACTAACAATAATAACAGCTACGGCAGTCTACTAACCAGATTGAAGTGCTTTAATTGTAATAGCACTAGCTATCTACTAGGCTAATATAACAAACCTAAGGACTAGGCCCGAATTGACCGTACTTCCGCTAAATACCGAAAGCACCTCTTAGCGGCTAACGCTACCCCTATAGGCTAACCTTCGAAAAAAGAGTAAGCGCCGCACTAACTGTTAGCCTCGTACGGCGTAAGACTATCGACATTGTGCTAGCTATAATACGCTCCTGCCTTATATAGGACACGAAGGGCACTACCTATTAAACTAAGGTTATACTAGATCTAGGATGTAAGAAGGGTATGTTAGCAGGTAGATAGGGTAGTAGTAGGTACAAGTAGTATTCGATAAGGAACTAGGAGGAGAGGGAGGAAGGTAGGAGAGTTAGCCTAACGCTAAGCGCTAAGCCCTGCCTAAGGCATTAAGACCCTAGCTTCACTCGGCCTAGTTATATACCAATTACGTATAGCCTCTTTAGCCCTAACATACGCTTCCCTTCTAAAGGCCGCGCCCTCGTAGCCGGTCTTTGTCCTAGTCTCAACCTCTATTGCTACTAACTTAGCAGGTCTAATAAGCTACTTAGCCCGCGCCTAATTGAACACTCAACTACCTAATTATGTAACTATATCAAACCTTACCTCTAACAATACAATATACAACTCTAACTGCGCTATCTCTATATATAATAAACTATAAAGTAATATATATCTATAAGAATTAAAGGCCTTCGACTAATTACAATACGAGCGCGTCTTCCCTACTATAATAGGTAGGCGTACGAGGTATTGCAGCCCTGCCTCCGCTCTACGTAATGTCGTACCGAGTTCTTTGCGTCTACTCTTAAAAGACCTAGCAATGTCCGCTTCCGAGGGTTGTCTGTTCCCGAGGGTTATTGTTCTTATTGTCCGTAGTCTCGCTAGCCCTAATTGGCTAGGTTTAGCAGCCTTTAAGTGTCAATCTTATCTTATCTTTTTAAAAAAAAACATAGCTCGTCTAGTTTCTATAGGTGAAGGCTATTGTAAGTGCAGTAGTAGAGGTTCGCCTCGCTTAAAGGGTTAGATAGATCGAGGAGTAACCTATTATCCGCAAGATCGACCCTAGCTAGCTTAGCTCTATAGTTTTTGCCCTTAGTTAGTCTATTAGTCGCTTAATCTTTTGACTTAGTTAAAGTTTTGACTTAGCGTTAAAGTTTTGATCAAACCTTTAATAGGCTTAAAGCTTTAATCAAAGTTTGATTAAAGGTGCCTTAGGCTCGTAGTGTAGGTAAGGTTGTGTCTGTAGGCGCAGCGATAGATAGCAAGTAATGTTAACAATAGCGGCGCTAGTCGTCTTAGCGCCAACTTTACCTTCTTCTAATTTCCTTCTTTAACTAATAACAACTCGGCAACACTGTTACTAATATAGCCGCGCCGGCCGTGTCGCCCTTTAGCATAAGCGTAACGCCGTCGTTACTATTATTATTACTATTTACGCGCGCGCCGTCCTCGCAGATCGCCTAGGCCTTAAGGCCTCGACAGAATAAGGGAACAAGAGGGGGACCTATAGGGCGCGTTAGCGAAGAGGTAGAGTCCTTAAAAGAGCAGGCAATTAGTTAACGCGTCGTAGTGCGCCTAGTGTAGTCTTATTGTCCTTTGTTGCTAACAATTGCTTGCCTCTAATTAGTTAGCTAATAGCACCCCGGGGGTAGTATTGTCCTAGGCTTAGTAGTAACATTATAGGCACTATAAGCTCTTAGCCTTCTTCGTGTTCTTTACGCTAGTCTAATACTTATCTAACAACTTAGTTATATCCTTAAACGAGTCTTTAGCCTCCTATAAGTCCTATTTAGGTAAATAGCCTTGCTATCTTAATAGGTACTCCTTCTTGCCTTGCCTAGTCCGGTGCTTTAGAATACGTTCTATAGACTATAGTTCCTTACTATCCGCTAGTATGTCTTTATGTTTAGTAGGGGCTTCTTTATTAGAGTCTCCGCGGTAGTAGTATAGTTTAAGGAGGGAGATGTAGAAGGTGTTATAGATAGTGTAGTGTAGTAGGAGCTATAACTAATAGGCCTATACGGAGGAGCCCTTAACTTCTCGAATGCGGAATAGACTAATATATCTTAGTGCGAGCTTAGGCCTTGTTTTGCTATTAGGGGATAGGTGCTTACGGATACGGAGGTTCTTAGTGCTTAGCATGACTATATCGCCTTGCTTGAAGGTCATCGGTATATAGTGTTTGTCGTAATAGGCCTTCTAATAGGCCTAGGCCTTCGCTAGTTTGTTAGCTATCTTGGCGTAAATCTCTCGCATCTTTTGAACCCTCTTAATAGCCGCTAGTGTCTTAGGTGTTAGTACTTAATACGCTTCCCTTTCCTTACGCTCGGCCTCGAGCGATAAGGGGTCTT